TTTTTTTTTTTTTTTTTTTTTTTTTTTAGTCGTGACTCGTGAGAAAGATATTATAATGCATAGAAAGAAAAATTGAAAGTGTTTTTGAAAAAAATAAAAATAATTTACAAATATTTAACTTATTGTCCTATAATAATAGAAAAGAAAAAAAAATAATAAAAATGAAATCTATTTTTGTCTCATTTTTTTTTTTGGTCTCATATTTCTTGTTCATTTTTAATTGTCGGTTTATTTATTTTAATCTAATTAAAAATGTCATAAATGCAACTACCATAACTGCTATTCCACAAACCATGAATGCGATTGGAGTATTATTGGCATAAACTTTAAATACACCAGTAAATATTTTTATCGAATTTTAATTTACCTGAGTGAAAAAACTGAAGATTACTAAAATAATTACGGCATCTTTTAAATTGTTTAAGGAAAATCGGAAAGCAACCAAAAATATTCCATTTAAGAAAATTATTAAAAAATGAACGAATAATCGACCTCTAATACCACGTTTTTGGTAAGCGTAATCTGATAAGAAACCGCCAGTAGCACGAGAGAAGATATTCATTAAACCAAATAATGCTCCTATCATACCAGCTTTCGTTTGTGAAAGTGCAAAATGATCATGAAAGAAATATCCAATAACATTATCTACAGCAAGTTCAATTCCAAAAGAACAAGCATACATAAACATTAAAATTATAACATTTGGATTTTTAAGTGCTTTGAAAAACATTCCAATGGTTGGTCTTGATGGAGTATGAACCTTTGGACTCTTTTCGGAAATTATACTATCATTATCATCATCTTTAGTGGTTTTGGTTTTGGTAGCTTTGTTTGCATCATGTACTTCAACAGTCTTTTCATTTTCTGCATAATGTATTTCTTCAATTTGTTGTTGTTTACGTTTAGACCAATCTCCTTGAGGACAATCATCGGAAAATAATAAACATGACAATCCCATAACGAAACAAATTCCTGCTGGAATAACCATTGCAACTCTCCAAGATGCATGGTCACTTAATCCGGAACTTTTAAGTCCTTCAAATATTAAAGGCATTAAAACATAAGTTACTCCTGCTCCCATATTTCCCCATCCTCCTACTAAAGCGTTAGCACATCCAACCACAGAACTGCTAAACATTTGTGTGGTCCAAAATTGACATGGTACAAAAGTGGCTCCAATAATTCCAATAAAAAATCTTAACGTTATAAAACCGTTAGCATTTGTTACTAATCCACTAAGGCCAACTGGAATAGCACTAATCGTAAGTAAAGTTGCCATCGTTCGTCTAGGTCCGAAACGGTCACATAATGGTCCAATAAGTGTACGAAAAATGATTGTAGATGCGATTGAGGTTAAATTACTACTATTGACCTCACTTGTCGTTAATTTGAGATCTTCCTTGATAGTAGGGATTAAAGGTGCAATTGCAAACCAGCCAGTAAAAGCGGTAAGAAAGGAGAACCATGAAAGATGAAATGCTCTCATATAAGGTCTCCCAAAATTGAGAAGATTAATACCATCCGCCTTTTGGGTGACAGGATCAATGGGTAAAGGTCTTGCAAATAATTTAACCATTATGATACGTTAAAGTGATGGCAATTTTGTTTTTTTCGAAAGTCTTTTTTTTTTTTAAAAAGGACCTTGATTTCAAAAACAAAGGAAAATAAAGGCTTTTTTATAAAGTTTTCAAGATTCTAGTTTACATGCATTTTAGTTTAGTCCTTTCAGTTGTACAAAAAAAAAAAAAAAAAANAAAAAAAAAAAAAAAAAAAGTATGAATAAATTAAATCAATAATTATTAAATTCCTAAATTAAATACGCGCATATAAATTAATGAATAATCTAGATTCTCTCTTATCTTATCTGTTGATTTGATGCAATTTTTTACGAGTTATTTTAAGCGGATTCAACCTATATAAAAAAATTTTTTTTTTATTCCTATCTTCCGATCTAGATTTTAGTGGTTGAAAAAAATTATGCACACAAGATTCTTTAATTAGTTAGATAAATCAAATCAAGTTTTGAAACGGAGTTATCACATTTCATTTATCACATTGGCTATATGGCGCATTTACTTACTGTGCCACACATTGACTTCTTACCGAAGTATTGTTAGTTTAACTATAATAAATTGTCGGAACTCTGCGATATTTTCCACAAAGTTGATTTTTTTTTTACATCAAATAATAAGATTATCATAATAATAAGAGTATTCATTTATCATAATTCAAAATTAAAAAGATTTAAGATATCTCACATATTTTATTTAAATGATTGAACAAACAATACAAATTTTAAACGTACAAAGGAATATGTATTAAATAAGTTCTAGAAAGTAAAGAAATTATTTCTATACGTACTGCATATACAGTATATGTGTTTATATATATGTATATATATATGTAAGAATATGGATACAAAAATTTTACAAGAGAAAGAGAATTAAAAAATTTTTACAGCAGCACGTTTCCTTTTATCTTTTTTTTTAAAAAAAAACTGTATTCAAAGTAAAGTAATTTAAAGTAATTTTTTGCTAATCTTTCATTCTTATCATAATATCATGTTTCTTTTTTTCATTTTTTTCATTTTTTTTTCACGTTTTTTCTGTTTTATCAGGTTCTAAGATATGAAAGAATTTTGTGCAACATGTTACCACATTATCCTTAATCGGAAACTATCACCTCCGATAACGGGGCTTATCTTTCAAAAATTTCAATGATAAAAAATGCATTACTAAAAAAGGCAATAAGATAGAAGAGTTGAAAGAAAGGAAACCGTAAATATTTTGATGCTTACGAAGTTTGACATTCTTATCTAATCCGATTATATCTTCGTTAAACGTTATTTAAATTAACCAATTACAATCAAGTATTTTTTTTTTAGAAAATTGTAACTGAAAAATCGTCGGGAATTTTTGGGTTCATTGAAAAAAAAAAATTTGATGATTAGATAAAGCCCATAAGTTGACTATCAATTTGAAATTGGTTAATCATCATATGCAAATCAACTCTTTTTGTTTTGAAAATAAAAAATGATCAATTGGAAATTCAATTCTAGAACAATAAATAAACAAGCTTATTTTGAAACAAATATTATTCTAATAAGGAATAAGCGAACCCCAAAAATAAAATATATAAGATATTAATATAAAATGTCGATCATATAACAACATGCCAATCGATTAAATAAAAAATTGACAATTTAACTAAAAATAGGTTAATTTTATTTTTAATAAGAACCTAAAACTATGGAATTTTTTTCTAATTGGTTTTTTTAAAAAAAAAAAATTAATCCCTTCAGATAAGAAAATAGTAATTTACCGCATGTCAATAAATGATATCTGCCCGAAAATTTCCGTTTATGGAACATATTGCTTTATCTATATATCATAATTTTTCAGTATAATTAAATTTAATAATAATAATTCAAAGGATCAAAAATTTTTTTAAAAATAAAGGAAATCTGTTCAAATTCTATAAAATTTGTATAAATTATCATAAAATAAATTATTTTCAATAATTTCATTAAGTACTTTATTTTTTATATATCTTCGATCTAAAATATTAATAGATTTGTATTTTTGATGATTTTAAAATGATATACGAACTTCAAATATTTCATTATAATTAATAAAAAAAAAATGATTTTTTGACCTGGAAGGTTCTATCTAAATATTTAATTTTTTGGGAACACAAAATAATTACCAATAATTATACCAACAATTATCCCGGAGATTTTCTTATCATTCATTAATCGTCGTTTTTTAATATTGTTTTACGCGGATTAAGAACTTTATTAATATGTTTAGCTGCAACGCGTAATTTCTTTATTTAATTCAAACTTGTCATACATTAATTAGTGATGAACATACATGTACAGACGTGCAGTAGATAAGATAGAATTTAATTTGGCGTGTTTATATGAAGCATGCGTGGTACCTTATTACTTAACTAGGAAAACTCTTTATCTTCTTTTAAATCTATTAATATAAAAGCAACTCAATTATTGCTCAAGTTTTTAAAGTTTTTAGCATTTTCTACAATTTTTTTAATCATGGCTTTTGTTGATCGTCAACCAATAATAGAAAACTTTTCAAAAGAAAAAATATCAATAATTTTACCAAATCAACAACAGCAGCAACAAAATCAACAAAATCAACAAAACCCTTTAATCGAAGAACAAAAAACAAAAGATTTACAATCAAAAGATGTGAACATTACCATAGATCCTCGTGATGTTAATACTCCTGATAAATGGATTCCAAGACATCCTGAACTTATACGATTAACAGGAAAACATCCTTTTAATAGTGAAGCACCTTTACCATTATTAATGGAACAAGGTTTTACAACGTCTACTTCTTTACATTATGTGAGAAATCATGGTCCTGTTCCAAAGATTAGTTGGGATACACACCGATTAGTTGTTGATGGGTAGGTATTTTATTAAGATCCAGTGAAATTCGATTTGTTTTTGCATAAATTGCATATGACTTTTTTTTGCGTATTGCGCAAAAAGTTTCTCGTACAATTGATAAGATCACATGATATAAAACGTCATCATTTTGTGTAACATTTTCTTTCTTTCTTTTTTTTTTTTTAATTAGACTCGTACCAAAAACCTTAAATTTATCGATGGATGATATTATAAAAATGCCATATCAAGAATTTCCCGTAACTCTTGTTTGTGCAGGAAATCGTCGTAAAGAACAGAACATGATTAAACAAACGGTTGGATTCAATTGGGGTACTAGTGCAATAAGCACATCAGTTTGGAGAGGTGTTCCATTACGATACATTTTAAAATTGGCTGGATGTAGTCTTGATATTGATTATGAGGAACCTCGTCATGTTTGTTTTTCTGGGGCAGATAAATTACCAAATGGTTATTACGGTACAAGTATAACTTTAGATTGGTCAATGGATGATTCTCGGGATGTTATCTTGGCCTATAAAATGAACGGTGAAATGTTGTCACCTGATCATGGTTACCCATTACGTATAATTATTCCTGGAGTTATTGGTGGTCGTATGGTTAAATGGCTCTCAAAGATAACTGTTTCAAATAAAGAATCAGACAGTTATTATCATTATTATGATAATCGTCTTTTTCCACCAAATGTTGATTCTGAACGCGCTAAAAAAGAAGGATGGTGGTATAATCCTGAATATATTATCTATGATTTAAATATTAATTCTATAATATCTTCTCCAGCGCATGATGAGCGTATTCCTATTTCAAGTTTCGTTAGTGTTAATGAATATACTCTTAAAGGTTATGCTTATACTGGAGGTGGTCGTAAAGTTAATCGTGTAGAAATTAGTCTGGATGATGGAAAAACTTGGTTACTTACAAATTTGGATCATCCAGAAATCAACCATCCTGATGTTTTGAAACGACCAAACAAATCAATTCGTCGATATTGGTGTTGGTGTTTCTGGTCATTAAATGTTCCTTTATATTCTTTCATTGGATGTTCCGAAATTAGAGTAAGAGCTTGGGATGAGTCAAATAATACACAACCTGAAAATCCTACTTGGAATTTAACGGGAATGATGAACAACTGTCATTTTAAAGTGAAAATTAGTACTGTAACCAACGGAAAGGATGTCGCATTAAGATTCGAACATCCAACTCAAGCTGGTAGTAATCCTGGCGGTTGGATGGTTAAACAAGAACAACCAGCTTCTGAAACAAACGATACTATCAAAAAACCACCAGTTTTAACAATAAATAATACTTCAAAAGGTCTCTTTACAATGAAACAAGTGGAAAAACATAACACTGAAGAAGATTGTTGGATCGTTATCGAAAAGAAAGTTTATGATTGCACGAAATTCCTTAATGATCATCCTGGAGGTAACATATCAAAAATTTTTTTTTTTTTTTTTTTCCTTTGAAAAACGAAATTTTTTTTTAATTATTTATAAATTTTTTTTATAGGTGTTGATAGTATTTTAATTAATGCTGGAACGGATTGTACAGAAGAATTTAACGCTATTCATTCTATTAAGGCAAAGAATATGTTGGCCGATTATTATATTGGTGATTTAACAGAAGATTCTACTGTAACATCAACATCATCAACAACCACAATACCAAAATCAATAACGACTAATGAAGATTCACTTATAGCGTTAAACCCTAAGGTGTGGTTATCATGCCCGTTTATAGAAAAGAAAATTATAAGTCATAATACTCGTATATTCCGGTTTGCCCTTCAATCAAATAAACATTCACTTGGTCTTCCAGTTGGAAATCATATTTTCATTCGGGCTTCGATAAATAGTCAAGCAGTTATTCGTGCGTATACACCGATCACAACTTCACATGATCCACCAGGTTACATCGATCTTTTAATAAAAGTATACTTTAAGAATGAAAATCCCCAGTTTCCTGATGGAGGACTTATGTCACAATATCTTGAGTCACTAAATGTTGGTGATAAAATAGATATAAAAGGACCAATTGGATCTTTTAACTATATTGGTCGTGGTCAATATCGAATCAAGAGAGCATCAAATAACAAAAATTGCAAGCAAATAGGAATGATAGCAGGTGGTACTGGTATAACTCCGATGTACCAAATAATTAAATCAGTTCTAAGTGATCCTGATGATCCTACTGAATTATCTTTAATATACGCGAATCGAACCGAAAAAGATATTTTATTACGAAATGAGTTGGATGAACTTGTTAAACGTAATCCACGGTTTAAAATTTATTACGTATTAAGTAGACCCTCAAGTAATTGGGAATTTGGAACTGGATACGTTACAGAAGAAATTATTCGAAAAAATATTTCACCTCCATCACCTCCATCACGTAATATTGCATTATTATGTGGTCCTCCACCTATGTTAGAATCTTGTATTCCAAATCTAGAAAAAATAGGATTCGCCAATGATGAAATTATTAAGTTTTAACGTTAAGAATTTTAAAGACTCATGCTAAATATCATTGTGTAATAGATTTATACATCACATTATAGCATTATAGCATTTTTTTTTCCACATATATTTATAATTGCATTTTCTAGAAAAAAAAAAAAATGAAACAGGAGATCATGTTTACATATTATGAAAGAGACCATAAAGGGGGGCGCATTTTTATAGAATTGAAATTATTTATTATTTTTTTCTTTTTTTGTTGAATCATTATTTATGTTGTAAAAATTTTTTTAATTCAACAATTAAATCCATTCTATTTTACCATCAAATAAAATCATATGAAAATTTGTTTGATATCCATTATCATCATTTACAATATTAAATTATAAAAAAAAAATGCGCAAAAATCAACGATAAAAAAACTTATATATTCTTACTGGTAAGTATATATACAGTATATTCTTTTGAGCAATATAAGGAAATTGTGACAAAAACTTTTTTATTATTTAGAAAGGAATACAATGAGCATTTATGTGGCGAATCAGCCTAAAAAAAAAAATAATAATAAATTAAACAAAGTGCGGATCACGTTATTCTAGAAAAATGATTGGCAAAATGATAATGGTGTAGTTAGCCGAAAAACGGAGCGGAATTCCTGATTGCTGATCATCCGGACCCGGTTTAATCGCAGAAAATCCCTGGAATTCCACGACGATCTACGTCTGAGCCGGGTCCGGATCACGTTGTGGCTAATTAATGCAACGTTATTAGATCAAGGTGGAGTCAACTTTACTTACTTACGTAAAGTACTTTGGATCTTTTACAATTTATAAAGTGATTAATACCCGTGATTGTACTCGGTTATAATAACATGCTCAAAAGGCATTTTAAGCAGTTCTAAAAACAAAAATTTGTTATTTTTTTTTTACATTATTGGATATATGTGAATTTCTATGAATGATGATAAAGAATTTACAAAACTGATTATAAGCTGTGACATCGTAGATCACTGCTCATTGTTATCGAAAAAAAGTAAAAGTTCATAGGGTTATCATCATAAAGTATTACAGACGTGAAATTTACTTTCATCAGAAAAGCATAGTGTAAGAGATATTTGAATTGCTTATTATTATTAATTAAATTGACTCTGCTGGTCATAAAAATCGATCTCAGAGGGTTTTAATGACGTGAATGTCAATGTGCTACGAATGAACAAATATCAGTACTATTATCTTTGTTAAATTATTGTCGGTTTACATTTTAATCTAATGTTGTGATATTGGTTAATTGGTATGACTGATATCTTATACTAGATTCATATTAATATAACGAGTTTAGTGCGCAACTCTTTTCTAATAAGTAAATTTTTTAATTTTTTATTTTCTCTTAAAGGATTAGCGAAGTCGAGATTTCACATACAAGAATGTTTCAGTTACATGAATATTAACAAAAATAATTATAAATAGAATTTCTATTATTTCCACAATAAGGGTGCAATATCACTCGAAAGGTTGTAACTCGTGACGACGTGACGTAGCTCGATATTATATAAATTATTATAAAATTTATCTGTGAGCATCTGCAGTGACGTTATTGACGTAACTTTGTTACGGCAGTTACGTCCACGATGTGGGACGCGAATTTCATTTTTATAATGATTTTTCAAAGACTTTTAATGCCCCTATAAAAAATTTTTTCGAAACGAAAAAATTTTTATAGGTAGATTAAAGTTTTTTTTGTTTCTAGAATAACTCAATGATAAGTGGAAGTTGATTGTTTATGCCTTTATGGTGTGTTACAGAAAATCTATTTAAAGAACACTTCGATCTAAACTTTTATAACATTTATTAATAATTCTTTAATTAAAAAAATTAAATTTTTACTTTAAATTCCTATACATACATGCAGGCATACATTTGTGTGTAATACATTATTTAACAATGGAATCTTTAAACAATGAAAATAATTGAATCTGTTAAAACCTAAAATCTATAAATATCTGGACAAAGGTTTTGAAAAAGAAGTAGAAAATTATAATAATTAATTATACTTTTTAAATCCCTTTATTAAAAAAAGGAAAAGGAAAGCAAAATGTCAAGTGTAAGAGATGAAAGTGGTCAATCTCCTACAACACCATCACCAGATCAAAAAGTAAAATTGACTAAATAAGAAAAAGTAATAATTATACTTAGAATCGGAATAATGTTATTCTTTGAGTTAATTTTACCACTTGTTCTCTATTATATTCTTAGAGATTTATGTCGGAAGTCTTGGCACTTGTTGTGTCGGGTTTTCCACCGTTTTTTGTTGTCATTTATGGACTTATACGTGAAAGGCGGGTTGATATTTTAGGAGCAATGTTAGTCGTCTGTTTTATCGTTTATGGTATAGTGTTATCAATAACAAACGATGCTCGAATTCAATTATTTCGAGAATCAGCAGTTACGGGTACTATCGGTTTGGTATTCCTCATTTCTTTGCTCCCAATCAAGATTGGTTCCTCCCAAATGCGACCGATGTCATACTATTTTTCTAAAGATATGCTAACCGGAGGATCCTTTGGTTTATCTCCCAAAAAAAACAATATTGATGATATTAAAGAACGTTGGGTTGAGAAAGAAATTGGAATAATTACGCCGTGTTTAGACGCGGATATAGGATTGACGGCTCTTTGGGGAGTTGGTTATATTATTGAAACCCCCGCATTCGTTATGAATATTCTTAAAACTCCAACAATTGAACGTGCTTTTTTTTGGACAAACTTTGTAACTTAGGTTTGGTCAGTTATATTGATTATAATCGACGTAATTTACCATAGATGGTTTATTAAACAAATTCCTAAAGAAGAGCCAACTGCTGTTAGTCAAATATCAGTTAATCATATGATATTAGTAAATTATAAATGTGTAAATTAGATTATTTTGTATATTATACGTTAAAATATTAATTAATAATGAATTTAATTTTATTACTAGTTATTTCATAAAAAATTCGACTTTGCGAGTTCATATAATATACAATTACGCGTATCAACAGCGACAAATGCGTAAATGTTGTTGCGTTGCATTAATCAATAAATAACGATTTTCATTATTTAAATTCAAAGCAGATAAAGTGGATTATCCGGGTTCATAACACTTAAAAGGAAAAGATCACAATAATAATATATACCAACTTTTGGGGATAGTAATAAAATGCAATGTTGCTGGGATAATTGATAATATTCTTTTATTCATCATTTACAAATGAAGAAAAGTTAATTAAACGCGATGCGAATTGCTCCTTAGTCTATAAACATTGATAAGGTATCACAAATGGGCGGTAATGGTGTTAAATTAAGTATATATTCGCCAATAACCGGTGTGCATCCTGTCCTAATTTTGTAATATTTACTATTAACAAATTAGGCAATAATAAAATAAATTTATTAGGCCATAAAAACATCGAATTCATTCAACTTACATCATTAGACGTAACGTCGTAACGGCGTAACGCTATACAGGTTTCGAATTATGATTTCTAGAAAAATTTTGCCACATAATATGTGTGACATGTCAATCACGAATTGGCTAACTTACAGTACTTTTGAGGTAAATAGATCTGATAGCGTATATCATTAAAGTACATTGTATTTACTTTTTGGGAAAATTTGACGAAAATTCTAGTTTTCTTTGTTCTCGATAGGTTCTTGAACATTAACGTTAAGCGGGCTAGTTTTATTATTAAATACGGTAAGCATAATAAAGAAAAGACATCTTAGAATTTCTTTAAAACTATGTATTTGTAGAAAGTCACGTGATAACCTAATTCGTAATTAAAGATCAACATTAAAAGAATTTTGGGTTAATACTTGAAAATTCATTTATTATGTAAAAAAATTTGTATAATATAATACAAAATCAAATTATATCACCAGTAAAAATTAATCCTTAAAAAATTAATTAAAACTAAAGGTCAATATATTAAATTAATACTTTATTTATTATTTTTATTAAGAATAATATCTTTTATAATTTTTAATAATATTTTCTAATAAAATTTGAAAAAAAATTGGAAAACAAAAAATATAAGATTCTACTAATAATAATATTTTATTAATTCTAAAGACTTTAATGCAAAGTTTGTTAAAAAATTAAATAACTAAAAGTTTTGATGAAATATTTTCATTAACAATTAAAATATTAAATTATTACTTATTATTATTGAAATAATTTACTATATAATATATAGAATTTACCAAATTTTATAATAATATATAGCATTATTTCAAGCTTAATTAATGAATTTTTATAAATTTTATAATTTTAATAATAAATTAAAAGGTTTCTTTTTTTAAAAAGCTATATTTTTATTATAAAAAATTACTTTAGTTATACTGTATGTCTGTATTATATTTCAGTAAATATTAAAGTTAAAAAAATAAAATTATTACTATTAATTTTTCTTATTAAAATAATATGAATTTTATTAAATTTGGATTATTAGTTTAACTAAAAATAAAAGTATATAATATAAAATTTTAAAAATACCTTTAAAATAAGCAATTTTTGAAAAATTTTATATAACCAAATAATTAAGGGTATTGCTAAATATTACCAGTGGTAATAATCACTGATGGTGAAATTATGATGTAATGCTAGCCAGTATTTTATTAGGGTTTAATTCTAGTCAAATATACATCATAATGCTGGTATGATGATTATCATTACCAATGAACTTTAGCAATTTACAATAATTAATAAGCAAATTTTAAAATATGATTTATATATAGATGGTTTAATAATTATATATTATAAAAAGTTTTAAAAAAAATTTTATTTTATATATTTCTATTTTTAAAAAATCTATCAATTGAATTTCAATAAAATTTATATTATTAGATTTATTTTGATAAGAAAAATCCAATAATAATAAAATTATATTTTTAATATTAATATTAATTAAAATATTGCAAAAAATATGCTTTTCTTATTTAAACTATCTGAATTATATTAATATTATTTAGGATCTTATTTAAATTTTATATTATTTTATAATATTTATCCAATAAAATTATAGATTAAATAATATATAAAGTTTGAAATATTAAATATAATTTTTATTATAATAATTATTCAGAATTTTATTAAACCTATATATATTAACTTAATTTTTATAATTTAAAAATAAAATTTATTTTATAATGCTACTAACTTTCAAGTTTCCTTTTTTTATTTACTAATTTCAAAGTATATTTTAAGTATTTTTATTATTAATTTTTAAATCATTTTCTTTTATTAGTTTTTTTTGTAATAAATATATTTTATAATATATTATTATAAATTATATTTTTTGTAATTTTTATAAAAATAGAATTTAACTATTAAAAACTAAAATATTAATATATAATTATACTATTTGATTAACTTTTACTAAAAGTTTATTGAAATTTTCAATTTTTAGAAATAACTTTTTAAATAAAAATTCATCAAAGACTTATTATAATAAATACCATATTTGCCCGAAAATAAGCAACAAGTTTTTTTGCACATAATGCTGGCCAAGTTTTGATAATGTGGGCCAAAATTTGTTATAATGCGGGCCATGTTGCTTATTTTTGGTGATTGCTTATTTTCGGGCAAATACGGTAGGTATTTCTTAAAAAAATTATTTTAATAATTGAAAATTTTATTGGACTTTTTAAAGTTAATTATATAGTAAACTTTTTATTAAAAAAAAATACTACTGTATTATTAAAGAACATTATGCGCATATACTCTTATATACTATATTTCAGATGATCAAAAAATGCTAATGTAGCTACAATTCGGCTTCATTGACCAGAATCAATTATGATAAATACACTCAAAGGAATAATATAATTGTATAAATGTTTTAATTTAATTATAAAAAAATTATATATTTTCATAAGATTATTGAGCCAATCATATTCCGTACTGTACGGCCTTAATTTGTACAAAAGTTTGTACAGTACAGTATAGCACTTATGTTAAATTTACTACCGTTTTTTTTAAGATTACCTCTGATTATTTACCGGTAATAGATTTATACATTGGTCATATTATTTAATTTCATTTCTAAAATAGGCAATAGAAAAATGAAACATAGGAGGTTGTGTTCACATGAAAGGAACACCAAACGTTCAGGAGAGTGCAGAAATTAAATTATTTATTGTGTTTTCCTATTTTTGTTAAATTGTTATTTTATTCTAGAATAAAATTTTGTTTTTATCCAGCTATTTCTTAAACATATTTTAATCGAATATTAAATCTTAAAAATCTAACTAATATTGGGCAAAAAAATTTGAGGAAAAATTTTATTATTTTTATTTATAAAGAATAGATTATCAGCTTGGCGTCCTAGAAGTCCTGGACTCTGATGACCCAGTCATGTCACGTGATAATTTCATTGTTTGAGTCCTTATGGTAATTTTCAATGACTGGGTCTAAAAATTGTAACATTCTAGAAAAATAGCTGCATTTTCAAGATGATATCATAAGTACAAGAATTTACAGACACCTAGTCATTTTTTACTCCTTGCCAAGAGCACGGAACATTCGATAAACTTGGCGATAAAGCTCAAATAAGATAAAAAGTATGTCATTAGTTTCGGTGCACTGTATCAGCCAATTGAACTCTGGTCAGTTAGAATCTGTTAAAAGTCTAAAATATTAATTCCGGTCACGATAAATTGACATCAGTCGCAACCTTGCCCTATAAAAAATTTTTATCCGAATATTTCCATAAAAATTCCGTGAAAATGATACATTCACGGAAAAAACATGGAAATATAAACCCGGATCAACATGTCACTAAGAATTAATTGAATTTGTTTCGATCTATATGATACGAATGTCAATGTGATGCGAATGAACAGTCATATTATTGTTCGTTTCTAATGTTTGTGTTACTGATTAATTGGTATGACCTAATATCTTAATATTATACATTCAATAACCATTTTATAATGATGAAGAGAATGGCGAAGTCTGAGTTAAGAATATTTCAATTTCAGAAAGATTATAAATAGATTTTCTATTGTATCCATAATGTAGGACGCGAATTTATTGTTAAATGATTTTTAAGATAGTATAAAAAATTTTTTCATATCGAAAGTTTTTATAATTAGATTAAAGTTTTTTTTTGTTTCTAAACAACTAATGATAATTGAAAATTTAATAACATAATTCTTTTATTTAGTTATTTATGTGTTACAAAGAGTCTAATTAAAGAATATTCGATCAAATATTTACACAACAATAAAAAAAAAATAATAAAATAGAAGATTCGGACCTTAAATTCCTAAATATACTTACTGTACAATACATACATTTGTGTGTAGTATTGTACATTATTATTTATCAATGAAATCGATAAACAACAATGAAGCTCAGCCTAATTTGTCTAAACTTATTGGATCTAAATCTATAAATACCTGGACAAAATTCGTTTGAAAAAAAAAGCGAAAATAAAAAGATAAAAAACAAAAAAAATTTAACCCATTATAATAAACTAATCATATTCCTTAAATTTCTTTAGTTTTTTTTTTGTTTTAAAAGAAAAGAAAGCAAAATGTCAAGTATAAGAGATGAAAGTGGACAATCTCCTACAACAGCTACATCAACAAATCAACAAATAAATTTGACTAAAAAAGAAAAATTGATAATTTTATTTAGAATTATATTAATGTTATTCTTTGATATCGTTTTACCACTTGTCCTTTATTATGTTCTTAAAAACTATATGTTAGAAGTCTGGGCACTTACTATATCAGGAGTTCCACCGTTCCTTGTTGTTATTTATGGACTTATAACCAAAAGGCGTATAGATATTTTGGGAGCATTAATAATAATGGGTTTTATCGTTACTGGTATCGTGGCATCATTAAAAAGAGATGCTCGGATTCAATTATTACGAGAATCAGCAGTTACGGGTACTATCGGTTTGGTATTCCTCATTTCTTTGCTCCCAATCAAGATTGGTTCCTCCCAAATTCGGCCGATGTCATACTATTTTGCTAGAGATATGCAAACTGGCGGATCCTTTGGTTCATCTTCAAAAAAGAATAAAGATGTAACAAATGATATTAACGAACGTTGGGAAAGATTATGGAACGACAACGCTGTATTTCGACGCGGATATAGGGTTTTGACGGCTCTTTGGGGAGTTGGTTTTGTTCTTGAAGCCCCCATCCGTATTATAATTATTTTTAAAGCTCCAACAGTTGAACGTGCCTTTTTTTGGACAAACATAGTAACTTACTCTTGGTTAGGTGTCATGATTCTACTCGACGCAATTTACAATAGATGGTTTAAAAAACAAATTCCTAAAGGAGAACCAACTGCTGCTAATCAAACTTCAGTATAATAATAAGATAAAGATAATTATATAATTACTCTTTATAATTTATACAATTATACATATTATACTGTACATATAGAATTATATACATATACATATATATACTTCATGCAAGTTTAAATTAATTATATTATAGACATGTAAATTAGAAAATTGAATTCTCATATATTTTATATATTTAATTGTTAAAATATTAAATAAAGGATTTATAATTTATTAAATACCGTAATTCAAAAATTTTTGATTAACATGACAGAAATCGTTATGTAAAAATTCGAAATTCGACTTTGCGGTTTCGTTCAATATACAGTTGCGTGTATAAACAGGTTAAATGCACACATATTAAATAAATGCTATGTAAACTGAAGGTAAGGGTATTGGCGTTGCATTAATCAATAAATTATTTACATTCTTAAATTCAAAACGATAAAACAGGATTATGGATTGTAACACTGAAAAGAAGATATTTACGTTTAATTTTGTAATATTTATTTACAAACTAGGAAATAATAAAATTAATTTTTTAGACCATGAAACGTCAAATTCTTTAACTAGATATAGTATGGAATTTTTACGTCATGGGGTTCTATTGCTTCTAGAAAAATTTGCCACATGTATGACATGCCAATCACCAATTAACTAATGATATGAAAATTTACTTTTTGAGATGAATAATATTAAAATCTATCATTAAAATATAAACTATTATGTATTATTCTTTGGAAAAATTCGACGAAACAGGACTTAAATGTAACAATAGATTTATTTATAAATTCTTTTGTACTCGATGACATAATTATCTAAATTTTCATCTTAGAATTACATTAAATATTATTATTATCAATTATTTATATAATATTATTTAGTTTGTATATATCGTGAATTTTCTTTTATTATTCCGTTTTCCGTTTAAAATTATCCTAGCAAGTTGACGAGTTGAAATGGCATTATTTTCGCCTCAAATTAATAAATCATTGTTAACCTACGTACAGTATTTCCATTACTGTAATGTAATTGTGCGATCCTGAAGATTTTGCGGAATTATCTTTAATTCATACAAATCAAACCAAGAGCTATTTTATTACGAAATGAGCAATTCCCATTTTAAATTTATAATCAAATAATTGAGAATTTGGATATACTGTAAAAAAAAAATTGCTCAAAAATATTAAAAATATTTCACCTATGTTAGAATCTTGTAAATTGTAATAACTGAGTTATAATTCAATCATTAGGAATATTGCAATGACCAATAGGAATTAATACTACTAATACTGATTTTAATATTGGATGTCTCACAAAAATATATTCTTGAACAATAACAAATTTTAAACTTTCGAGATTTACGCCAAGTATGATTATACAGTAAGAAAAATTTTCTAGAATAGGCAATAAAAAAAATGAAACATAGGAGGTCGTGTCACATAATATGATAAGTCGCAGACAATCACAGAAGGAGAGGAGATGCATTTTATGCAGAATACAAATTATAAATTTATTTTTCATTTGTTGAATGTTAAATTTTTTTCTCGATAGATTTCCTAAAAAATGTGCGTTCTATTTATATCATCACCTTAAACTAAATAAAGTCATCATGATCATTTGTTTCAAAAAATCTTTGTTATCCGTCAATGTTTTATTGTTGCACGATCGTCACGTGCCTTGCGTAGATTAATAGTCCTTCGTTACACTTAGAACTAATAAAGATAATTAATAAAGGAATGGGACCCAACACCCAAGGAACAGACCACATCATGTGATGTTACATAACAATACCCTTGCCTTTCCTGAATATACGTTTTCCCAAGTCAATTACCTGAATGTCAATTTCTCAAACTGGATCCTTTCCTGAAACATATCAATTTCCCGAATCCTGAATCCCAATATCCTGAATCCTAAATATTCTGAATTCCAATATCCCATATACTGTAAATTGTTGTTTTCAAACTTTTTAAATAATTTTGTAGAATAAATTTTGTGCCATAATAAACATTGTTATAATTTGTTTTTGAATAGTACTTATATAATAATATTGTAATAATAATAACTTCATTAGAACATACAAAAATTATTTACGAAAGAAACGCGAAATGAACAAATTTATCGTTCAAATAAAATAAGAAGTTAACACTTTAAAAAAAAACACCCCAGTTTACCGTAACCGAGAAATTAATGTCGAAAAATATTTCACCAAAAATTTTGATCTTCTTTCCCTTGATAATGAATAAAAAAATTTAAAAATTAAAATTCTGACTGGTTTTGTATCAAATATGCCCATCTGGCATGAGATTCAGGAAATTGTATGTTTCAGATTCGGGAAATTGACATTCAGGTAATTGACTTAAGAGCTATGTTTGGGAAAATAGCATCCAGAAATCGTACTGTAATCATCAGATACAGTATCAGATACAGTACAGTATATACGTCATACGTGTAATTAACGGTCTCATCAAGTTTTCAAAGGTTTGCACCGTTGCATTCTAGAGTTGAGCCTGTCCAATGAGTCATTAGTAATTTTTGGTACTTCAAAACGGTAGGCAAAAACTGAATGCACTTTCAACTTATTTAATTATCATAAATACACGTATTTAAAAGAAAATGGGTAAGCCGTAAAATAATTATTACTTACTCAACACCAGCATTAAAGAAAACGACAACAAAATTGATTAGTCGAATATTAATAAAATTTTACTTGCTGTGAAAAAGCCATTTTCTCGTTCAACTTTATCAACGACTCTACGCAATAGGAGGAGTCACGCTGGCTGTGTTCTACAGGCTCAGAACTGGAAGGCACAATATAGAAATACACAAAACCAGGTGCAGGTGCGCAACCAGAATATTTTTAATTTACAACGGCAAATAATTGCATTACAAAACAATCCTCCAAACATGCTACTTAAAGTATCACCCTTTGAGCGTACCTATATTATAAGACCGGGTGCTTTAGACGGCAATAAAGAAGTCACAAATGTTGTTGTAAACGAATATAAGTTCTCGGATAATTTGTTAAATTGACACCGGCCGGAAGATAAAGATTTATTAAAATGAATATTATTTATACGACTAGTATTTTATGGGGAGGGCTAAAATGAATTTTACCATATAGTTTCCATTGAACGTGCTAATAGTTTTTTAAGATATAATTTTAATAATTGAACCAAGACATTAAAAATTCGATTTTTAGGGGGATGAAATATGATTCATGAAATATAAGAATGCAATATGTACAGGAGTACATTAATATATAGTACGCATAGTACGCATAAGACTTTTACATTTTGCGTGTATACAAATTTTTTGAATTATCACTGGTGTATATTTTCAATTGGTATGACCGATATTTTATATCATTATCATTCTATAATGGATATGTTAATATAATGAGTTTAGATCCGCGATTAATTTTTTTTTTATTTTCTCTTAAAGGAATGGTGAAAATCGGAGTTTTCAAAACTCCTTGTTTAGAATTGATATATCAGTTGCAGAAATGTTAATTAAACAATTATAAATAGGTTCTCTATTATGTAGGACGCGAATTATATTTATCGATGATAGTTATTTGTCAAAATTCAAAAAAAAATTCTCTTAAAGGAATGGTGAAGTCGGAGTTTTCCAACCTCCTTGTTTAGAGTTGATATATCAGTTGCAGGAATGTTAATTTAAACATAAATATTACACGATGTACTCGATGTAGGACGCGAATTACATTTATCGATGATAGTTATTTGTCAAAATTCAAAAAAATTTTCTCTTAAAGGAATTGTGAAGTCGGAGTTTTCAAACTCCTTGTTTAGAGTTGATATATCAGTAGTTGCAGGAATATTAATTTAAACATAAATAGATTATCTATTATTTACACGATGTACTCGATGTAGGACGCGAGATAGATAATTATTCAAAAAAAAAAAAAAATGTTTTATTAGATTTTTTGTAATCCAAAATTGGTTTCTATATTCCTTTCATGGTTGACCCCTACATGGCTAGTAGAAGTTTGATAATCATACTTTTTTTTTTTAACAATATTTTTTGGAAATTATATTTTTAGTGATATCGTTTTGGAAAATCTTGAAATCTTGTCAAACTCCCAGCCACACATGTGATTGACAATGAGTAATACAAATTAGTATTCTTTCACACACTAGAAAAAAATGAAACGATAACAAATCTCGATCATTTCCTTTTTTCATAAAGTGTGGCTAAATGCATCCAATCTTATTGTCGCATTTCGACATAGGGAGCACAGATTAATTAATTGAAACATTGTTGTTGCCAAGATTTTTATCGGTAAGTAACTACGGAGTTTAGATTCCACAAATACATTTTATGTAATACAACTATTTATCAATGAAATTGAAATTGATAAATTAACCTTATTTTTCCAAATTCGCTAAAATTTAAAAATCTATAAATAAGTGGGACAAAGTTTTTTGAAAAAAAATAAAAAAATAAAAAAAAATAATAAAGAAAAATTGAAAACTTTTAAGCCATTATAATAAATCAATCATACTCTTCAAATCATTATTTTTTTTTTAAAAAAAAAAAAGAAACGAAACAAAAAGTTTTTATTTTCAAACTTTTAAAAGAAAGCAAAAATGTCAAGTGTAAAAAATGAAAGTGGACAATCTCCTTCAACAACTACAGCACCAAATCAATATCCATATGAAGTGAAACTGACTAGAAAAGAAAAATTAATGGTTTATCTAAGAATTGGATTAATGTTATTCTTTGAAATCGCTTTACCACTTATCCTCTTTTATGTTCTTAAAAACTATATGAAAGAAATCTGGGCGCTTCTGATATCAGGTGTTCCACCGTTTCTTGTTGTTATTTATGGAATTATAAGTAAAAGACGTATTGATATTTTGGGAGCTCTAATAATAATAAGTTTTATTGTCAGTGCTATCGTTGCATCATTAAAAAGCGATGCACGAGTTTATTTATTACGAGAATCTGCAATTACGGGTACTATTGGTTTAACATTCCTCATTACTTTGATTCCAATTAAGTATGGTACTTTCCAAATGCGACCAATTATATTTTATTTTGCTAAAGATATGCAAACTGGAGGATCCTTTGGCTATTCATCACCAAAAAGAAATAATTCAGGTTTAGCAGAGGAAATTTCAGAACGGTGGGAAATATATTGGAAAAAATATGCCATATTTCGACGCGGATTTATCTTTTTGACGGCTTTTTGGGGAATTGGTTTAGTTGTTGAAGTTCCCGCTCGTGTTATAATTGTTCTCAACACTCCAACAACTGAACGTGCCGTTTTTTGGACAAACATAGTAACTTACTCTTGGTTAGGTGTATTGATCCTAGTCAACATCCTTTACTCTAAATGGTTTAAAAAACAATGTAGAAAAATAATTGGTGAAGGAGAACGACAAACTGCTGCTAATCAAGCTTCAGTATAATAATCAACATAGAATGTATATAAACATTTTTATTTTATAACTTCATACAAGTTTTAAAATGATGTAGTATATTAAGTTTAGAAATTGAACTCTTATTTTTACTGTATTTTAGAATATTAATAAAGGATTTAAATTAAATTTAATTTTATTAAATATATTAAAATATTTCAGAATGATTTAATTGTAATCGTTACTTCTTTGTGACGATAAGTTACTATATAAAGTCATCATAATATGCAACGTTTACTATATTTGATTAACATTCTAAAATTAGAAAAACAGGTAACGCGGATTATCCGACGGATCGTAACACTAGCAATAATAAAACTGGAACAGCCACCCAGTTAAACCAATATTAGCTTGGACTGGTAAACAATTGACCTTCCCTCTAAATGGCGGGTTAAAAGGTAGAGTATATATTCACCAATAGGTGTGCATTTCAAATTAGGGGTGTTCTAAAGCCATGTTCGATCATGTGATTTAACAATATAAATTGATAAATTATTTTTGAACTAAGATTTATATTTTATATATAAACTTGAAAAATCATATTTTTAGCCTGCTTCTCAAGTTTACTTAAGGAGTAAAAAGTGTATTTTGAATAGTGTAGAATGAACGATCATATCCAAAAATGGCTGGACAAAATGAATAAATCAAAAACGGTATTCAAAACCGATCTACGGAGCAGGCTAAAATACATCCACCATAATTGTTTTATTTGGAAAATTCGATTTTTTGAAAGTCACGTGATCGAACACGGCTTTAGACGGCCCCCAAATTAGGTAATAATAAAATCAAAATTTTAGATCGTAATTTCATTGTGACTATAAGAAAGTGATATGCACGAGGTTAGACAAAGAAGTCTTGGCTTCTAGAAAATACTTTAGCACATGACACGGCAACCACGAATTTAATTATTTACTTTTTGAAGTAAGTTTGAACGTATTGGAAAAAATTTTAACTGAAATTCCAAACTTTTCTGTAATAGATTTTCCTTTTTTTAGAAGCATTTGCTAGAATTTTACAGAATGAAATATTATTATTGCATTAAATTATAATAAATCAATCGCAACGAAAATATTGTTTGTTTTGCATACAATCGGGTAAATTTTCTTTGTCGTTCCATTTGCGTAAAACAAAAAATAAAAATCAAGAGGAACGGGAAAAAACAAATTGCCGAACCGTGTTTTATTCTATGTTAGTAAATCGCCAAGAAATGAAAAAAAAGAAGATATTAGATTTAACCACATAAGGCAAAAATAAAATGTATAAATGTCGGAGTTAATTATTTAATTAACCGAAAATTTATTCAATAACTACTCATAAAGGGCGTTCTCAAATACCTCAATTGATAAGTAATTTAATTAAAATCTTCAATGATCTTCAAGCGCTCAATCAGTATAACAAAATGAGTTCACAAGATTTTTTTTTCAATATAGAAAATTTATTATTTTACTTTTAATGCAAATGATACAAATATATGTGCATTACCTTTAAACATTTACTCATAAAAAAATAAATAAAAAAAATCCGTTGCTTAATGTCATATGCTCAAAATTTAAGGAAACGACGATCATGGAATCATATCAGACATATTGATTTACATGTCCGATATAATACCATGATCGTCGTTATTATTTTTACTGTATTATGTCTTATTATGTCATACATTGTAATGTTTATTATGTCATAATGCCTCTTCAGTTTCTTGATTCTCAAATAAATCTTTATGAAAGCTTTTCAAATGCCTTTCAAGATCATAATTCCTTTTAAATAAATACTTACAATCTTCAATTGTACATTTTATGTTTCTACCTCTCTCATAATCATAACCTGTAAGATGTTCTATATCAGTAATTTGTTTGTTTAATTTAATTTCGTTATTCAATTTATGAACTTTACGAGGATAAGTTTGCTATTTTCATCCAAAATTAATAAAATCTTTCTTTAGATTAAAAATCAATGAATGTAAACAATATAAGATATTAAAATTACCTCATGAATAACTTTAATATGATTTGTTAAAACATTTTTATAGGCAAAAGTCATCTCACAGCCGGGAACCACACAAACGAAAGGACGAATATTTTTATGTGTTGCTTTGGTGTGAACATTAAGTGATTTAATCTGAAAAAATAAACCAAATAGAATTAAGAACCAAATAGAATTAAGTCAATTGATTGATCAGGATTTAATCTTCAAATGTTATTTACTTACGCTGGAATAATATTTATCACAACCTTCCCAACTACAAGGAAATAATAAACGATTAGGATCATGGGTTTTCATGTGAAGTCTTAATTGTTTAAAATCTTTTACTTTTTGACTACACATTTCACACGTAGGTTTATGATCCTGACGTAAATGTTTACATAGTTGATGATATTTTTGAAAATCTTGTGTACATCCTTGAAATGCACATCGCCAACGTTTTTGTTCTAAAGTATTTTTTTTTTTTTATAAATCTGATTTTCAAGAAGACAATCTCGAACATTTAATAATTAATATTACCGGAATGTACCTGCCCATGATCTCTTAATTTTGCGGAAGAAGAAAAACTTTTCGTGCATCCTGGATGCTCACAAGGGTAAGACTTTTCCCCTGTATGTATAGTTTTATGATTTCTTAACAAATAATCTTGCGTAAAAGATTGATTACAATCTTGTATATTACACTATAATATAATTTATTAGAACATTAAATAAAATAAAAAAAAAGAAAAAAAAGAAAATCAAGACAAGTTCTTGATACCTTGAAACGTTTTTCAATATCATGTTGTTCTTTTTTATGTCTCGATAGATGATGTTTATGTGAAAATTTTGATTCACACCCTTCCATTGGACATTTAAAAGGTTTAGTATCTTCGCTATGTATTATAGAATGCATACGTAAATGATCTATACGTCTATATGATTTCCCACATCCTAATTCAGGACATTTAAAAAATCTCTAAAAAATTTTTTTTTTTTTTTTTTAAATAAAATTTTATTAATTTTATTTAAATCACTTTTAAAATAATGTAAAATTACCTCCTCAGAATGTGTTATCTCATGTCTTTTAAGTCTACAACGAAATTTGAATTTTTTATCACATCCTTCAAAAGTACATTTCCAAGGATGATTACCTTTCAAAATCATCATTTTATTATCAACGATAATAACTTCATTATCTTTATTTTTTTTTCTTTTTATTAATGATGATGAATTTTTTAATTCATCATCCTCTAATGATGGTAAAATTTTCTTAGAATTTTCTATATTTATTCCTTTCATTATATTAATTTCAAGTAATCCATGATATGAGATATAAAAAAAAAAGGGGAAGAAATAATAAAATGTCGACACCAAATCACATTACACATTTAATACGTCTCGATAATCTTTGTAAGGATTGGTCTACAATACATTCTAATTCTTGTAAATATTTTTCTTCTTTAATAAATATATTAACACAAAGAAAAGATACTGAATTATTACTTGGTTCAAATAATAATAATAATAATAAAATTTTTGATTCATTTTATGTTAATAATAATAATTCAAATTTAATGCCTTCTTCTTCAATTTCTATTGGTAAAAATCTTCCTTTCTTTTTACAATCACAATCTTTAACTTTATTAATTTATAAACAATCTCGTGAAATTGAAGAAATGTTAACAAAAATTCATTCGGTTTTACAAGAATTTGAAGAAATTATTAATTCAATGAAAAATATATTAAATCAAAGTAATAAATTAATTAATCCAAATCAAACAATTTCATCCTCATCTTCTTTAAATTCTACTACCACAACTTCAATATCTACTACTACTACGACGACGACGACAAAAAAACAATCTTCTAAAAAAAAGAAATCAAAACAACAACAACAACAACAACATTCTAAATCACAAAAATCATCAAATAAATCAACTTTAAATCCTCAAAAAAAACAGATTGATTTATTTGATAATTTTGAAAATCCAGAAGATATAGCTGATATACCAATTATCACATCAAATCTTTATATTGTTAGAATCGTTGAAATGTATGAGAAAGAATTATGTTATAAAAAAAATTTGATCTTTGGTGGATGTTTTAATATTAATCATAATGATGATTTTGATGATGATAATGATGGAGAAAACGGATTAAGTGGTGGAATGAATGGTGTTAAATTAATTGGTGAAAGATGGGCTGCTCAACCTTATTTGCTATTTGAAATGGAAGAAGAAATGTGTGATAGAATTAAAGTTTGGAAGAGGGTTAAAGAATTTGGTTCTATAAAATGAATGAATCTTTGATGGGAATGGATGAGATGTGAGAAGGAAAATTTTCTTTCCGGATTTCATGGTTCTAAGTCTTAACTTGTCAAAAATGAGAAAACCTGAGGCCGATTTCTCACTGAGATCTTACGTGTCCGTAAAAAATAAAGAAATTAGCAACTGTTTTAAAAGACGGAACAAAGAAATTAAATAAAAATAATGCACTTACCGAGAACCAGCATCCATAGAACCGAAAGACGTATACCATGATGAGATGTATTCATAAAAATGGAGAAGACATTTCTAGGAACTTTAAATCATAATAATGAGCGAAAATTATCCTACGGTGCTACCACGAAACAAGGTATATAAAGATATTTATTATTTAATTTATAATGTTTTTTTAGTTTATTTAACATTCTTTTTTCTTTTTAATAAGAGTGCAGAGTAAATATATATATATATATATAATCAAGAAGGTGTGAATTACGTTAACAGAATTTCGGCCTATTTAAATTTAGATTATATTAAATAATGCTTTGAATTCAACACTGAATAATATAAGTGTTATCACACACAACATAAATATTTATAATATTAACATTAAGTTATTTTTAATAATTAAAAAAAAAAGGAAAACAATTAGTTATTATATTAAATTATTAAATTAATAAAAAATATATATATATATTTTTTTTTTTTCAATACCAGCTCACTTAATACAAAAATGTAAAATGTCTGATTAAAGGTTTAATATACCGTATGTAACTAATTTATACAATCGCAATTTTTGGTAAAAGTGAGAGAAACAGTTAAATAGAGGTGTATATATACGTTCCTCTGTAATTTTTATATATACTGTATTAAGGTAAATGAATGTAAGTAAAAAAGAAAAAAATTGTATAACCCAACCCAAAAAATTAAATACAAAAATATATCATTATTATACAAAATGTTTTTTATCATCGGCAAACAGCGGGAGTTAAGGTAACTCTTATAACACCATCCCCGCCAACTAAACTTTGACCAGTATTTTCTTTAGGATTAAAATGTATCGTATCAGAATTGGCTGAATTTCTTATTATGATTTCACTTTGTGAGCTCATCTTTCTCGTCTTTACCTCATCTCCATCATTACCACCTATCATGTTCGTCAATGTTGTATCTGATGATGAAGCTGTTGTGATATTTCTTTTAACAGAATTAATTGTAGCCGGAACTGGTATTGCTGATGCCGGTGACGTATCAATTGTTGTCGATTTCTTTGCGGACTTAAATGCACGTATTTTACTTGGACGTGTATTTTTTGGTGTATTTTTATTATTTGCTTCCGTTTCTGCTATAATTGCTTCAAGTTTTTGCATTTTTCGTATTTTTTCATTATCTACTATCGTACTTCTTGTTGATGATGGATTTACAACCGGTGTTGTTTGATGACGCGTATAACCAGGGCGCAGCAATTTAGATGGATTTATTGGACTTTTTAATGGACTTAATGGTCTTGAAAAACTTTTAGGAGAAATAGGTGATGCCGGCAATGAAAATGTCTTTGGTGATATAGGTGAATGTGGAGAAAATTGTAAATTTGGTGTTAATGGTCGTGATTTCAATGGTGCTGGTCGTGACTTTGACGGTTTTGGAGAAAAAACATTATTATTTTGTGCCGAAGAACGTGATATTTTAGTATTTGATGATGATGTTGATGTTACTCGAGATGATTTAGATGGTTGTAAATTAGTTGGATTAGATAATTGTGATGATGATGGAGGAGAAGTAGAAGGATTTGGTGATGATGGTCGTGAATATCGTGGTAAAAATGAAGAAAAACTTGATGTAGACTTTACTGGTGATTTTGGTGATCGAGGTAATAAAGAAAAGTTTGGAGATTTTGGTGATTTTGATAAATTTGTTGGAGGTTTTTGTGATTTTGGGGGTAATGGAAAGTTTGAAGTTGATGAAGAATTTGTTGATTCACGTCTGTTGAATAAACCAAAAAGACCCATTCCAATTCTATATCTTGACATTGTAGGAGAAGTTGGACGACTTTCTGGAACTATTTCATAATCATCATCATTTTTTAACTCTTCATTATTATCAATCATTGGTTTTAAAATATTTTCCAATTCCTCAGTTGGGGTTGTAATCATAGAATTCGCTGAATAAATAGATGGTGATCCAACTTGTAATTTATTTCCTTCTGTTAATGAAGACTTTCGAGGTGTTGATAAATGAGTAGGAAAAGGTGGATGTTCAGTAGAATCAAGAGGTATTACATTTTCATTTGTTTTACGTCTTAATAATGGAGGTTGTGACATGACTGATGTTTTTTGTGTCATGTTCAAATCAGGAGGTATGATACCTTCATTTGTTTTACGTCTTAAAGGTGGTTGTGGATAAATTAATGTTTCTCTTTTCTTAATTTCATCGCCCACAATTTTTTCTAATTCATCAGAATCAATTATTTTTGACATTATAACAGATTTGGTTGATCTTGTATTTTCTTCTTTACCTTTCATTTTATCATCATTATCATTTAATTTTTTACCATCCTTATTTGAACTTGAACTTTCAGTTTCCACCTTTTTTTCTTCTCTTTCTTTTCTTCGTCTCTCTCTTCTTGCTTCCCTATCTTCAAGTCTTGCATTACTACCCTTTCTCGTTTTTTTGCGTATTAGAGGTCTTTGTTGATTTTGTAAAGAATTATTAGTCGATATTAATTCACCAAATGACATAGCTAAACTTTGTTCTAATAATCTTCTTCTAAATATCTGAGAGGCGCGATTTTCTTGCTTAACTTCTTGTGTTGGTAATTCTTGTTCTTCATTAACTTGTGAATTCTTCGTAGGATTAGATGATATTAAGCTAGAGAAAGGATTTCTAGTATTAAAAAACAATTTTGAAGTTTTCTCAATTTGTATAGATGAATTCCTTGTATGTCTTATATTAGAAGAAGGAATATTTTTTCGAGGTAAAGGTATAAGGGGAGCATGAATTAATCTTGGAGGACCAATTGAACGAGGCAACCATGGAAATCCTTGATCTTTTAATGGAGGTAAATCCGCTTCCATATCAGTTGGATCATTATTTGATATTGGATTTGAAGTATGAGCATATTCCAATTGACGACGACCTCTTTTTGTTACTTGAGTTGTACGTCTTAATTGAATAATACGTTTTACGGAAGGAGATTTTTGTAATCTTGAATAAGAAAATTTATCATTTTGTATGATAGAATTTTGACTTCTTCTCTTATCTTTTTTAATAGAATTTTGTTTTTTAACTTTTTGAGAATTCTTTCTTTGTTGAGAATTCTTTCTTTGAATATTATCACTATTATTATTACTTAATAAAGCAACACGACGTTTATCCGATCGAGAATTATTCATATCATTAGTTGAACGAGGATTATTATGTTTAATTTCCAAAGTTTGAGTTATTTGATCATTCGATTGCTGGTTATTTGGATGAAAAAAATTATCATCAATTTGACTTTCTTCAACAGAATTACTAACTTCAACTACAGTAGTAACAAAAATTCCACCTTCTCTTCTATTCTCTATAATGAAAGAAGGTCTTTCTTGTAAAGAAGAATCCGTATCCGACCATCTTGTATCATTAATATTATTATTAATATTATTTATATTATTTGATGAATTAATATTTGAATTATTTTGAATTTCTTGATTTAATGAATTTAAATTTTCTTCATTATTATCATCAAAATTATTCCAATCTGATTCACATGTAACATATCTTACTAATGAATTTGTATTTGTAGAAGTTGGTGTTGTAGAGATATCATTATCAGCTACATCATTTAATTCACTAGCGCTATAATATCGACTAACAACTTCATTTGATCTAGTTGACATAATCAAACTACTTTTTTATTTATCACTAAATAATAATAAAAAAAAAAAATTGTTATACAAAGATGTTAATGCTGCGCCGCACAGGATCGAATCAAATTAAAAACATTAAATTTAACGTACCTGAAAAAGGAAGGAAAGGAGAAAAAAAATTAAAGACAACAGTTGGAGTTGCGATGACGTTTTTTGTTTTTCTTTTTCTTCTTTTTTTTTAAATCATAAAAAAATTTGTCTATAATAAATAAAATAAATTGTTTGGTTAAGGAATAATATATAATGCCGAATATTTTGAACATTATGTATATTTTTAATCAATCATTTTGTCAAAAAAATAAAATATTAAAATAATCTTTTAAAATCTTTTAATTATATTTCTCCGATAACATCATCCCAAAATTACTAATTAATTATTATGATTTTTTCTTTTTTTTTTTCATCTTATCTTCGATTTAAAAAAATCATTATTTCCAAAATTATCTCTCAAAAAGCTATATCAGGGAAAAAAACAGAAATTTTATTCAAAAAAGGAAAATGAAAGGATACAGGTCCAGCCAAAAACAAAGACGTCATAAATTATATATACGAAAATAAAATCGTACAAAGGATTATAGCGAGAAAAAAGGAAAAAACAAGGAAAACAAGGAAAACAAGGAAAGGGATAAAATGAGGGGGAAATAAAAGTTGGTTTAAAGGGAAAGATGTGGCAGATCTCACCTTTGTATTATTTTAAAAAAAAGGAAATTATAAAATGGTATTTAAGGTTTTATCCAAGAGATTTTTTATTATCAACATAAAAAATACATTTCTTGATGAATATATATGAACAAAAAGAATGATGAAATTAAAACATGCGGAAATTAAAAGAAAGAAATCTGCTTATAATAATTATAAATGAGGAAAGAGTAAAAAAAAAAGTTAATAAAAAAAAAAAAAAATAAAAATAAATAAAAATAATAAATTTAATATTTTAATATAATTATTTAATATGTGTGTATCCACGCTAGTACATCATATCATATGTAGCATTTATTTGTAAAAAAAAAAAAAAAGCTTGAATTTGAAATTTGTAACATGCGTGCTTAATTTTTTTCGTAACACCTGTTCTTTACCAGTCAGCTGTTTGAAATTTAAATCTTTAATCAGATTATTTATTAATCTTTTTATATTAATAAGATATGGATAAACAAATAAACTAATACGAAGCTTTTCTATACTTACTACGTGAAGATCCAAACAATAAAAAAGAGAAAACTTTTTATCGAGAAAATTAACAAAAATTTTAAACCACTAAATTGATATATTTATTTATTTATTATTTATAAATAAATATTTTGATGAAGAATGATTAAGTATGTCGAAAAATTTAAATTAACCTGTTGTGTAAAAAATTAAGAGATTTGATTAATTGGTGTGTCATTTAGTGTTACTTTTACAGGCAACTTGCTCGTCGAGACATCGTGTACAACGCTGTACATAATATGATTAAGCATTTTTATTTCGGTACGCGTAGGACCTATTTTTGGTATATGATGTATGAGATCTACGGATTGCATCATTGAGAACGCGATAGGTTCAAAAAAATATTTTTTAATAAATACTTGAAAAAGAATTTTTCAGCGTAGTCATATAAACTGACATAACTCAATTTATGAAATTTATGAAATTTATGTACGCAAATAGGAGGTGCTTAGAACCGGTAACTCTTTTATGAATATATACTTTTTTGCACCTGCATGAACCTGAATTTTTTTTTTTTGTGTTTTCTTCTGCAATCAAATTTAAAGGTTATACTAATACAAAATTTATTGGCTTAGCATTAAAATTCATGATTATTAATATGCATCATTTTCATTTATAAATATATGTATAATCATTAATGGCGATAATTTTAAATTACTTGACACTACATTGCTTTGGAGGAGTATTATTATTAATAAAATTTTGTCATTTTCAGGGCTGTGCTGATAAAGAGAAAAAGTTATAAGATGAATAAGATGAATATGAGTAATCAAAAATATGGCTATTATTATTATTTAGAAGAAGAAGAAATCTATAATAACGATTATAAACCCCACATTTATGTTATTACGGAAAAGATTATAAAAATTATAAAAAGGTTTATTTATTTGTTGTTTATCAAATTAACGTGAATGCCAAATAATATTATTATGGCCTTTGGAAAAAAAATATATTTTTATTGTGCATCATGTAAGGATGCCAAAGAGTCCAAATAATTATTAGTGCTTTCCTAATGGAATGATTTTGTGTGAGCACAAAACATTAATTATCATTTAGATGCGAAGTAGCCAATAACTGTAATTATTTATAATTAATTTTCAATATATTATTATTCGGTGAGTTCAATCTGTTCAACAAGTATGACTACAACATAGAAATGAAGTATATTTCGAGCAATTAAGAGTGAATTTATTGCCCATTTATTACCCCATACCATAACGTGACAAAATTAATCGTTTATTTGTCGAATATTGTATATTAATATTAAATTAAAAAAAAAACTTTATCCAAATAAAGTTTAGGATATTAAGTACTGTTAGCTTTATTCGTTAGACAAGTCGTACACAACTAGTTTTGTTTGTTAAATATTAGAATCCTTTTAATTACATTAAATTCATCCGCTCGTTTTAATTCTTGTAAATGATCGATTGAGAACCATTTTTCAGCTGTGGGAGGTGAACATGTTTAATCAATTTAATTATGTAATTTCATGGGGTGGAATACCATGCTTTTTTCCCCTTCTGGAAAAAAACCCTAAACCCCATGAAATTACTTATTTAACTTCAAATGACTAGGCCTGTGTTACCTTTTTCGATGAGTTAATTTATGACTAAAAATTGCGTAACTAACTATTAAGAGCCTTTTTTTTTAACATCATGTATAACTCATTATACTTTACTTTCTTTTAAGTCTCTTGCTCATTATGTTATCAATCTTAGTCTTATGTTTTGCCTCTTTTTTAATGGGAGCCTTATTTGGCTTACTTGTGCAAATTATAATTTATTTTTACAAGCGAAAAACTGCGGAGGAAGGGTATTATTGCTATATTCCTATTATGTAATAAACATTTAAAATAAAGATGCTCATTATTTCTCTCAGCCAATTTCCAGATGTTAATGAGGAAACAAAAATGCTCATTAAAGAGTGGGGCAAGGTCATTACAAACAAGTACAAGGATATAGAGAAAGACTATAATTTAAATGAAGAAATGTTTTGTAATGAACCTTTACTTGTAATTGATTATGATCAATTTGGTCTTGAAAGACGAAAGATTACGGATTCTCATGTAGCTAAAAGTATGTTTGTAAATTATCACATTAACTTTGTTCGGGTTTTTCTAATTTTTTTGTGGTTTTTTTTTTTTTTGAATCAAGCAATCATAACTACTCCAGGATATACAGATAATGATCTAATTTCCGTTAATTTACGACTTCAATCAAATTCGGTTTTTATTTTCAATAATTCCAAATTACTTGATGATGCAGTTTCTCGATTATTTCAAAACTATCATAACTTGATTGTAAGATTTCATTACCCTTCTATTGGACGAGTGTATGATATAAGGTTTCGAATGAATGGCACATTTGTAACTTGTGAACGTTTTAATATCTTTGATTAATATCATTTGGTATGCAACAGTTTTTTATTATCTATTTTATATTTCTGCATTAATCGTAATATTACTTATTTATTTATTAGAATTTTTGCTAAAGCTATTCTTGAATCAGATTTTCCTTTATTTATACTTAATTGTAACTATGCAAGTCAAAATAATATAATAAAGTGTATTCAACGATTTATGACAATAATGTATTAAAACTTATTAGAAATACTTATTATTATTATTTGTCGTTCCCATCAATCGCTATGTACCACGTCTGGATATCCGTTTATAATCCGTTGGATGATCCGGGGATCCGAACTAACAGTAATTAATAGAATAAATATATTAATTTTAATAAATGATTAATAATACAAAAATTCGAAGTGAAGAATATAGTATAATGGAACGTGATATTATACTTTTTTAAAAATAGTCACCTTATTCTAATATCACGCGTAAGTCCGATTCTTTTAGATTCGTGATTTTCGATTAATTCGATCCAGATACATTCGGTCCACTTGTTGATGGAATAGTTGATCCACGAAGACATTAATATACGTCTTTCAACATTTTCCATTTCATCGTTTAAAAAATTTATTCACAATTAGCGTAGTCATTAAAACGTAATGTCTCTTGAATCAAAATTTTGACAATCAGAATTTTTTTTTTGATCATGGAGACGATGTAAATTTTTAATACGAAACAAAAGGATGATCGTGAAATCATATTTTTTTTTTGCCTTTTTCGTTAATAAAAAGAGATCAAACAAAAAAAAAAATTACATAATTTAATTTATTGGAAGTTTAAGCAAAAACTTAATAAATATATAAAGGTGATACTTTTGTTATTTCCACTTTCTGCCTCACGGAAATGAATCACCTGACTTGAAATCTATCCATTCAGATCAATCCGATCTTAAAGAAACTGATCAACCAAAATTGGTTAATAAGGAAGCAAATGATTATTAGATTATAATTAGACTATAATTAAATTGATTAGACTTCAAATTTAAATAAATTTAAATAAATAGAAACCCTTTACAATTTTCTTCCTTACAGATTTTCTTTTTGATAAATAAATAAACCTATAGAAATGGATATCTCTCATAATAACGAATGATTTTCGCCAATCTATGACGAATTTGACGGTATAAATGATTAAAATGATTAACCGATTAACTACCCATAGTCCAATCATAATTTTTTAATTTAATGAATTTATTTTACGTTAATCTTGTTTATCAATATGGAGCCACGGAAAGAATAGAATGACACATACTTTCAACATTGAAGAAATTAATTATTTTTTTTTTTTTGTATATTTACACGTCAGTGGAAAGAGACCCATAAAAGTTTATTGTCGTCATATCGCATTTGACATATGGATAAAGTAATAACAAATTATTATCAGTTTTACTTTTCGAATATACTATTGAATGTAGAACAGATCCTAAAGTAAGATTAATTTTATCTCATTATTTTAGTGTTTAAATAATATTTTTTCTTTAAAAAAAAAAATATTTACCAGGTTTGTGTTCGCTAACGAAATTTCAAACTTGATGATCAGTCTCATAGTTAACAACTGATCGTTCTTATGCACAAAAAGCTTATGAATGGAGATACTCAGTTATAAATTGTGATAAAGGAGATTATGCTTATCGGAAAATATATTAGCAAATTATCTTTGAAATGGAAATGTCAACATTTCAACCATCCTCTCTCTTTTGTCCCGTTTCCTTTCTTCCCACCTCATTTTTATCATTTCCAAGTAACCTATCCTCTCTTTTTTTTATTTCTTCTCTCTTTCCTTTTACAATGAATATAATTGTATATATATATATATATTTTTTATGTAATATAAATTTACGTTCGTCTCAAATTGATAAAAATTAATTTATATATATTTTTTAAAAAATTTTATAGATTATTCATTAACTTCATCTGAGATTCCTTACGATAATTATTGCTATTATTCGATAACTTCAGATTTGTCAACAATTTCAGATGTATCAATTTCATCAATTTCAAATGCATTAAGCGATAATAACAATTCATCTGAGATTCCTTATGATAATCATCGCTAAACGTTTCGACCTCCTTGTTGAGTATTAGTCGAGTTGAATCCGCAAAAATATTCTCAATTTGATCACAGTGGTGCTTGATAAATTAAAGAAGAATTCCGGCAATTAAGAGTATTAATTGTATTAATTACAAATCTGATCTGCACGAAAATACGAAATGGTTCTTCAGTTTGGATCAATTTACGAGTTGTCTGAAAAGAATTTAATTAAATAGAAAATTTATCAATTGAAAATTTTCAAATTTTCATATCTGGGAACGTGGTTGATCAGTTGGATATTTTCTAATTTCAGTAAGAAAAAGTAATTCAGTTGACAGATTTTGGTTTAAACTCACTTTGAGTCTTTTATTGATACCCAATTTTAAATATTGGATTATGTTCGTGAATTTAATAAAGTATTACCATTTAGAATCAATTATCTGGGCATTATTTCAAAAGTCTCTACCAGAGATTTTTCCTTTATTACTACTAAGAAACGTTTGGACGATCGATTTCAGTAGTGCATCCTGGGCTGAGATAAATAATGGTTTTGAATGGGTACAAAATTCGGTAAGAAAATTTGTAAATATTGTCGCTACAGTTTTATACTTTTATTGATTAAAAATCAATATTCCGGAGAAAATCATTGGTGGTTATAATCCGGAAGAATAGTAACTTTGAATTAGAGAATTCTCCTAGATATTTACGCACCAAAAGATCGTCGCTCTATTAAATTTTCACAAAACGGATTTAAGTGATGTCAACAATAGCAACAACACATTTTATAGTAATACGACGAACAAATAAACTCAAGCTTTCTCATTTCTCATTTTAGTTCAAAATGATAATAGTAAAATGGAAAATTTTAGTTCACCTTGTTCATAACTGCCGTGGCGAGTGCGGTCCGTTCTTGACCTATGGATTATCCCTAAAATTTGTTCATTTGAAAATCCATGACAGTCTAAATAATTTAGTTATCATCAGTAAATTCATGCGAGATTAGTCCCAGAGATGAAACGGGCGAATTTAAATTTGTGGATTATGAGATAAAAATTTTAGGTGGTTCATGTTTAAATAATAAGACTGAGAGAGCAATTAACATTAGTGGGATTTTTGGTTTCATGTTGGTTAAATTTTGTAATTTTGTAAACTTCAAATTTTGCAATTTCCTTCTTTATTCTGTAATTAATTTCTGCATTAAGGGAATTAATTCTAAAATAAAATTTCAGTGGTGAGTTAATAATAGCCAACGTAGATTATTATTAGTGAGACTATACATTCCTTGTTATAAAATTTACAATAAAAGTGTGTTTACCGATAAAATAAATTTTCAATAATAAAATTTTAAATCTGTTTTGCTTTTAAAGCTAATATTATTAACCTATAGAATTTTATAAAAAAAAATAAAAAATTAATGTAGTTTTGTTATCAAAATACACTCGACGCCTTGATTTTTTCACTTTTCATAAAAATTAAAACGAGCGAGCGTATCGTTTATTTAACGAAGAGAAAGGTTAAAAAAGTAAAAAGTAATCAGGTAATAGCCGACTTTCAAAAGGGTTTAAATTAAGGCCGCAGACTTAAACTTCACACGATCACGCCATGAGCGTGCGATTTTTTCATATTTGTTATTTGTTTTGTACGTTTGATTTACAATGGACCAAATGGACCAATCAATCATTATGTGAATAATTTTTTGTCTATATTAATAATAAATATGTCTCATGACTCAATTGGATCATGACAGACAAGCAAAATAGATGGACTTACGGAGAGACACGGAGATAGAATAATGATAACAGTGTGATGATTATTATATCATTTATTGGCTATATTGACGTACTGTTAATTATTAAATCAATAAACCTGACTAATTCGAGGTAAATGCACATCAGGTACGCAGTTAGACGCAGTATGACGCAGTGGCTTTTATTATGTTTACATTTTGATGATGCATCTACGTTACAATCATTTTTATTATGAACTGTATTTAGGCAATAATCAAAATTACACAACCTCACCTTACCATGATAGTCATTTTGATTGTATGAATTATGACAAATTATTACACAGCCCCTTAAAGTGTGTCAAATTGTGTTGACCCCTTAATATTGTTCATACGGGTTGTACAGGTTTATTTGACTCTTAAATAGACCACTTTTCCCTTGACCTGAACTCTACTTTTTCTCAAGAAAAAAAAAAACAATACTTCATATATAAATACCCTTTTCATTAAAGAAAATACTATTCTTTTTTATATATACTTTATATATATATATATATTTCTTATAACATGGAACTATTTATCGTATTTATCGGTACTTTGACCCTCTCTACTCGTGAAGCTCATATAAACAAAGCTAAAAAGAACGGTTATGAAGTCACAGAAACTATATCAAAGTCTACAACTTTTCTTATTTGTGGAAAAGACGGTGATCAAACGATTATTAACAAAGCTAAAAGTTATGGTGTAAGAATTATTAGTGAACAAAAATGGGTTGAAACTCTTCATAAAGTGGAAACATGCGGAACTGGAAAAAAAAGAACTAGAAGCGATAACAACAAATCACAGAATCAAAAGAAATTGGTTTATCTAGAGTCTCGACAATACAGGAGATTTTGGCAAATGAGACGCGTCTATAAAACAACTTATATCCGTACCGGTTCAATCGGTTCAAAAGGAATGGAAACAAGCAAAGAATATGAGACCAAAAGACTTGCAAAGGAGAGTATGACTTCAATGATCGCAAGTAAAAAAGTATCTGGATATAAAGAAGCTAGAAGACCACAATCTCTTGATTATGAAGACTCATCGGATTCTTCTGATGATAATTTTGGTGATGAGAATGATGAAAACGATTACAAATACAAACAAAAAAAGCAAAAACTTGAGAATGAGGAATCTGAATCGGATGCAACATTACATGGTGACGAAACGAGTGACGTTGACAATGGTGCCGCAGCTTTAAAAGAGGACGAGGATGAAGATTTATCAACTATAAAGAGTTTGCCATCCCTTCCTTCATTTATAACTAATCCAAAAAGTTCGATGTCAATTATGAAAGGAAATAATAGTGTTGATGTACTTTTGGCTCATCCTTGGAAACCTGACGAAACTGATCCAACTGGTTGGTGGATCTCAGAAAAACTTGATGGTGTAAGAGCATTTTGGAATTCTAAAAGGGGAAAATTTTATTCAAGGAATGGAAATGAATTCGTGCCTCCTTCTTGGTAATTGACAGGTTTTATTGTTTATATGCCTTTTTTAAGGTAATTTCTCATATTTTTGCTTATTTACAGGTTCTCTAAAGGACTTCCACGTGACAAAGACCTTGATGGTGAACTTTTTGGAGGTAGAGGAAAATTTCAATCTACAATTAGTATTGTGAAAGCGGGTGTAGAAGAATGGAAGAATATCACATATGAAGTAAGCACATTGTTTTTATTTGAAGCCATAAACCAATATTAAATATGTAATTATTTGCCGATGCGGTCTTAGCTCCGGCCAGGATTAAAAATCTTGAGCTCTCGGCTCGCACTATGTGACGCAGCAGGTCACCTGAACTCTCATCTAAACTATTTTAAACTTTCTTTTCGTTAACTTTTATTTGAAATTTATTGCGTAGATTTTTGATGTTCCTACTTTGGGTTTACTCCCTTTTGAGGACCGTATGAAATATTTGAAAAAAATGATAGCAGAAAACAAGTAACAATTTATATACTCAATTTTTTATGTGTACAAGCTAGCAAATGTTTAAGAACGCTATCTGATTTATGATTGTAACGATTGTATAAACAGGCCACAATATGCGAAATTAGTTAAGCAAAAATCCGCAAATTCTGAAAGAGACGTTTACGATGAACTTGAACGGGTTGAAAAATTGGGTGGAGAAGGACTTATGATTCGTAAACCAGGAAGTTTATACGAAATGGGTCGGTCAAAGACTTTATTGAAGGTAATGTAAAGTAACTGAAAATTTTTTAATCAGTAGTCATGGCGCAGTTCATTCATTGATTTGATTTTTCTTAGATTAAGACATTCTATGATGGTGAAGCCGTTGTTATAGGACATGAACCTGGTAAAGGTAAATATTTAAGACAGTGTGGTTCTCTCCTATGTAGAATGGCTAGTGGCAAAGAATTCAAAGTTGGCTCAGGAATGAACGACAATGATCGTATCAACCCTCCATCAATTGGAAGTATAATTATTTACAAATGCCAAGAACTTTCAAATAGTGGATCTCCAAGATTTCCTATATACTTAGGTGTCGCACTCGATAAAGATAAACCGACTGACCCAGATTTCAAACAAAAAGTGAAAATTAAATAATTTATGAGACTATTTAATAAGGTAAAATAGGAAATAGGAGTGATATTGATTAAAAAAAAATTTTGAATCATATCAAGAATTTGACTAAAACATTTCGTTGTAAGTATCTTACATCATTGTATATCATAATTCATAATTATAAATGATATTAAATTTGATACTTAAAAGAGATTAAGGAGACGATTTCCACGAGTTTGGATTATCGTAAGAATGTGACTTGAAATCTTCCAAGTGCTCGTTAAAATATTAGTCATTCAATTATTTTTCTGTTGATCAAACTTATCTCGATTTTGTTATAAATTTCTCCACTAGTATAACTAAAGACCAACCAACCGGTCATACCCGTAAAAAATCACTTTCGTCAAATTTTCGATCATTATTTCCATTCATGCAATGTAAGAAAGATTGTCCGCATAAATTGCAAATCCAAAATTTCATGCATAAAAAAATTTCACAATAATTAAAATTAGACCAATCATTTAACAATTTAATAAAAAAATCGATTGTTATTGTTATAGATCTAATACTGTAGTGATATGTTAATTTACAAAATTTAATTCTTAAATTAATAAAAAAGTCTTTCATCATATTCTGTCGGTAATTAAATTACCAGTATAAAATAAGAATTTTTTTGATTGTCGATCATTTTTAATCTCACTCTGACTAATAAATAAACGTTTATGAAGTGTTTATGATCTTTGATTCTTTTTTTTTTCTTAGAAAAATAAAATGGTTGAAAATCAACTTCCATCACCTCAATTAACTCCACCTATAACTCCAAATGAAAATGAAATTCAAAATAGGAGAAGAAGACTTATTCGTAATAATAATACAATAGTAACAAGAAATAATCTTTCACAAGACGAGTATTTTATGGATTTCGAACTTCATGATCACATGACTACAACAAAAGATGATAGTAATGATGAAAGGACAATATGTTCTGATGAAGAAGAGGAAGTTGGTGGCAATAAATTGGATGAGGAAACAATATGTTCTGATAATGAAGAACTTAATTATGATGATGATATGGAAAGTTTTGATCTAAATGTTAGCGAAAGTGAAATAGAAAATGGAAGTGAACATGAATATGAAGGAGATGAAGAAGACGAATATGAGGAATCCGAAGAGTATGATGAAACCGTTGATAAAATGTCAAGAGAAGTTATCGACTCGTTTTTCAGTAATATGGATAAAGGTGAAGCTAGTTATGTAAGTACAATATATCAAAATTTTATATAACTTAGTAAATTATTTACGCAAATGTTTATTTACCAGGCTTTTGAGATTTTGCAAGAATTAATAGATGAGTGTATCTTGGATGTTGCTTTTGAAATGCACCGACAAGCTAAGACAGATAAGCTCTGTACACGAACCTTTCAGATCCAAGATTCAAAGTATATTGTTATATTGTCGATATTCCATTCTATATTTACTTTTTTATCTAAATAATTTATTCTACACCGAAACAGTTTATTATATTTGATCGATAAACAAGGTTATGATATATTTGGTCAAAATATTAACACATTAAGATTGCAGGCAGGAAAACAACGTTGTCTAAATTGTAATGTAATGTTTCCGGTTTCAACATATGTAAAACATTTTTCAAAGTGTCTGGGGTTAGTTCAGGGACGCACAGCGACAAAAAATATTCGTTATACTGAGTAAGTAATTTATGTTCTGATATTACTTATTACTTTGTGTTTTAAATTAAACTTTGATTGCAGCGATGAACAGACAGACAAATTTTCCGTTTTTGACTTTCCCGAATCTTCAAGTTCTTCATTTATATCAAACGGGGAAATGGATATTGATACGCAAGGTATTTTTTTCCATTAAAAATTATTTATTAAAATTTTTGACAAATCAAAAAATTATTGAACAATAATTTTTTTTAACTTTTGTAGTAACTCGTGTAACGGATTGCAACGACACTTATGTATTTTCTAATAGGCGTCCTGTGGTGAAAACTTACGCTAAGAGAAGAACGACTAGGCAAATTTAAGTAGGTTCTATTTATTTAATTAATTATTTATCTAATAAAAAAAAAAGATAATTATTAAACATTTAAATTCCTGACGTGACGTGTAGGATCTGGCAACTTCGAAGGATAAAGCTGAATAATCTTTGTAAATTATAATAAGCATAGTTACAAAAGTTACTGTAGTTCAAATTCAATTAATTAATAATAATAATTTAATAATTGAAATATATTATTATTAATTAAAAAAATTCTTATCAAGATCCCGATTTGTAACCCTTCAAGATGCAAACCTATATTTTAAATAAAGCACAAAAACCTCAAGATTAATAATGCTAATTACTAAGTCTAGACTCTAGACTCTGGAATAATGAAAAAACAACGACACGCGAATTTGAAACCGGTTTTTTAGATGACATAATTATTGATTTAAACATTTTCGTAGTGATTAATATTCACACATTTTATTTTACGCCAAATCGCCAAGTTACATATAATATGTACTACATATCTGCGCCATGAACCGAATTTTATTTACCTAAATTAGTAAGTATTGATGACGAATACAACAAATTCATTACGTTTACTCAGATCAAATACAAATTAGGAGAAATTATAAAAAATTATCATGATGTAATAAAGTATATAAAAGCGTTATCAATTCATCATAAAGTTCATCAATTTCATCAATTCCTTGACGAACGCAAATTTTTACTAACTTTTAAATATCCTATTATGAGTGCAAAAATTAAAGCGGTTGTCCTTCATGAAAAAGGTGGTCAACAAGTTGTTGAAGAAGTAGATAAGCCTACTCCAAAACCTCAACCTAATGCATCCATTCCTGGTGAACTCGGTGACTTATTAGTTAAAGTAAAAACTGTGGCTTTGAATCCCGTCGATTGGTAATATTATTTTTATAGTATTTATAATAAATGACAAATGAATAAATGATTTTTATTTGATTATATATCATTAATAGGAAACAGGCTGAAATAGGGTTCTTTATCGATGGATATCCTGTTACTCTTGGTTCCGATGCAGCCGGAATTGTTGAAGCTGTAGGAAATGGAGTTACCGGTTTTTCTGTAGGAGATGAAGTTATGGCTCATACAAAACTAGGTGTTCCCGGAGGATATGGCGCATTTTCAGAATATGCTTTATTCGAAGCTGCTACTACATTTAAGGTTTATAAACTTATTTCATAATAGCATTGTGGATAGGAACGATCGGCTCATTTTCTCAATAATAATCTAGAAACCACCGCATTTGACTTGGGAAGAAGCCGCATCAATTCCTGTGGGATCTTTGACGGCAGCACTCGGTTTGTATCATAACTTGAATTTGCCGCTTCCTACAGAAAATCCAAGTTTCTTTCGTGAAGAATTTATTTTGGTAATTATAATACATATCAAAATGAAGTCGTTTTATTCTTTTTATTTAAATTTTTTTTCTTTTTTTTTTATGATAGATTTGGGGAGGTTCTTCCTCAATTGGTTCTTATGCAATACAACTTGCTGCTAATACGGGACTTACTGTTATCACAACAGCTTCTCCAAAAAATAATGATTATCTTAGATCAATTGGAGCAGCCCATGTTATTGACTATAATGCACCTGATGTTGTTGATCAAATTAATTCTATTACAAAAAATAATTTAAAATATGCTCTTGATGTTATTGGTTCAGAAAGTTCTAATATCGCGTTAAAGGTTTTATCACAAAATGGAAAAATTGCTTGGGCGGCAGGTCCTCCTACTGATAAAAAAGAAGGTGTTCAAGAAACGGGTATTGTACTTGGTGAATGTCATAGAGATACTAAGGGTGCTCTCAAGAATGTCAATCGACTTTTGAAGGTTGTTGAACAGTTACTTTTTGAAGGAAGGATTCGACCTAATAATGTTGAAGTTATTGAAGGTGGGCTTAATGCTATTCCTGATGGTTTGCAAAAATTAAAGAAAGGTGTTAGTGCAAAAAAATTGATTGTTAAAATTGATTAAGATATCTGTTTAATATCATGTACATTTCAAAGAAAACATAAATATTTATATATGAAATAAATTTTTATTTAAAATATTTAAAAAGGAAACTTTTTTTTACTATGATGTAAGAAATTTTACTGTGTTCAATTTACACGTGAAGCATTAACTTGAAACTGTTTAATTATCGCACGTGGAATATAAATAAAAAAACGGTATGCATGTGATTTCTCCTGATATTTACGACATATATTTAAGGCATCCGCACTTTTTTTCCGAGTGTCTTTAATCTTTTTTTTTCCCAATCATATTTCAGTTGATCACAAACTTTTTTTTTTTTTTTTTTTTTTAATGAAAGTAACTACCATTTCCACATGGTCAGTTACCTCACTTTACTTTAAGGTAAGGTCTCGGCAATACGGTATAATTATTTTATTTATNTTTTTTTTTTTTTTTTTTTTTTCCATAAAAAAGCTTTAATTATAAATATTACGATAAAAACCAACATTATGCTTACACTACGAAAAATGACTTCCTCGTATCGGACTTCATCGGAAAATACAGTATCAGCAGAAACTTCTTCTATAGCAACAAAAGTAAATGAAGTTATTCCATCATCTAGAAGTTTAACAGTTTCACTAACTTGTAATTTTGGTGATTTACCAACTTGGCTTCAAGATAATCATGATATTTTAAAAGGTTATAGAAGACCCACATTTTCTTACGTAAAATGTGCCAAATCGTTATTTTATATTCATAACGAAAGTGGTAAGTTAATGACCAATTTTTGTGATTCGAAACCATACTACTAGCTGTTAACTTATTTTATTTGTATTTCTTTAGTTAATATTTGGTCTCATTTAATCGGAACAGTTGCCTTTTTTTTCTTGGGATTTACAACATATTATTATGTGCTTGCGCATCAACCTAATGCGAAAACTTGGGATTTCTTTGTATTTTATATATTTTTACTCGGTGCTATGATTTGTTTAGCATTCTCTTCAACTTTTCATACATTATGTTGTCATTCAGAAAAGGTTTGCGCAAATTGGAATAGATGCGATTATATCGGTATTGTGACCTTGATTGTAGGATCATTCTTCCCGATGATATATTATGGTGAGAAAAATCAAATTTCAGTAAAATTCTTATTAGTTGTGAACTTAATTGTGATGTCTATTTTTTTTTTTTCCTAGGATTTTATTGTCATAAAGTTTTACAAATAGTTTACCTTTCAATGATTTCTATTTTTGGAGCTGCAACGGTAATTATTATATTTCAATCTATTTAAACTTATATTATGCTAATAAATTAATTAATAAATTATATTTTTACTATAGATTTCAGTTGCAGTTTTAAATAGGTTTAGATCACCACAATTTAGATGGTTTCGTGCAAGCTTATTTATAGCTATGGGATTAAGTGCATTCGTACCATTAATTCATGCTATTTTTATATATGGAGTAAGTTGTAAGGAACTTCTTGTTAACTTTTTGTTCCTTTCATAGGATCTTTAACATTTTACCTTCTAATTTATAGATTCAACTTTGTTTTGATGTAATATCTCTAAAATGGTTATTATTAATGGGCGCCCTTTACATTACTGGAGCTGTCATTTATGGTGCTAGGTATGTTATTATAGTTCATTTATCTTAAAAGCAATTTTTATTTTAGTATTTAAAATTTTTTCTTCATTTAGAGTGCCAGAAAAATGGTATCCGGGAACGTTTGATATCTATGTAAGTATTGCGCACACGTTTCTTTAGCATTAATTAATTAAATTGGTCATTAACTTTAATAAAATATTTCTTTATAGGGGTCATCACATCAAATATTTCATTTCTTTGTAATAGCCGCTGCACTTGTACATTATATTGGAATAATTCAAGCAATGACGTATTGGCATGAACAAAATCATTTATGTCTATATGATGTCAAAAAAATGGCTCCTAAAGCGTATTTATAAGATACATTCCTATTGAAATAACAAATATTATGCATTTCCACACACATTAGAAAAAATAATTAAAGAAGTTTCAATTTTTTGTTGTATAAGATCAATTATCTGTTAATTCGAATATAACAATAGTAGATGAATTAAATGAAATTCTTAGTGTAATGATTATCTTACAATTATATTATTCATAAAAAAGTATATTATTTTAATTAAAAAAAAAAAGGTCTAATAAATTTTCACATTAAGTTCAAATATATAGCGTGCGAAAATTTTGTATCAATTATTTACGGGCGTCATCAACCCGAAACTATTTTAAAGTTTCCAATTCTTGAAGCTAGCATTAATTTCTGGTTATAATCATCATCAGATCTTTCTCTCTGCTTTGGCATTACATAAAGTTTTGATTATTGGAATTCGCCAGAAAATGTATGAAAGAGGGGTTAACGAAATTTATTTAGTACGTACTTTGGGAAAAAGCATTTTTAGTTTCCCAAAACTCATTGATAGCAAAAGCAAAAGATTCATCTATCAGGTAAGTAGCAATAAAAAGTTACGCCAGGCCAGCATCAGCGGGCACTCGTTTGATCATTTATAATGATCCATTATTCCATGATAAACATTTGATAATGAAACCTTTTGAAAGATTAGACTCTCTTCTTGATAAGTACGATAAAATATTTGCTTATTTCTTAATTTCTTGACTTAAAATATTATGAAATTATGAAATTAATGCAGCGAATTGAATGGGATCATACGCAAGGTGGGATCAAATCTATCAACATTTTTTCTTGATCAACTAAACTTCTTCACTTTCCGAAAATGCAATAGATCTGTTGTTGCTGAATAACAAGACTTCAATATAAATAAATGTTTATAATTTACATACATAATATGAAGGATAAAGAGCGACTTATTAAAAGCCTTTCAGTATCATCCTGTCTTATTAAACCACAAAAAATACCGATTGTTTAAAAATAGATGAATGAAGAGTTGAACATTTACTTTACAAGGTATTTATTATATTTCGATTCAAATTCGAGAACATTTACAGGATTAAATCAACATATAGTTGCATAGAAGTAAAACAAATAAATAATTCAGTCTTTGTTGATGACGAACACGTATTTGCGTAGAAGACTTTTCTATCGAGACTCGTAACGGAAAAAATTGTGCTTACAACGGTTCAATCTTTAAAAATTTTATGTTGGGTCTATAATTAATGTGATGTACTCCAAGCACTTTTATTGTAGAATCCCATGATACAAAACAGAGGATAAGAGTCATAAGACACCTTAATCGATTGATGCCAATCAACCAATTTCACTACTAATCGATCAGTTTAACTGTTATGGACTTCGCTGTTACTTCATTAATAAGTGAAGGCTTACATCAATAGCATAAAATCTATTCTTATAATTATTATTTACCGTTTAATAAATGAGCGTTATTCCCCACTTAAATATAATCACGTCTTCTGTATCATTTCATTATAAAAAAATTTTTTTTCGCAAAACGTCTTTGTGAGAATAATAGAATGACTATCTTTGATGAGGATCCATTCGAATCAAACTCATGAATAAAATTGTATTTTAAAGTTACTTTTTTGTCATAATAATTTTAGATCATACAGTATATCGTACATCCGTCATATCTAACATGGCTGGTCATAAGATGGTAGACTTTGCTATATACCATTAAGCTATCAAATGTGATTTGCAAACTTATATTCCCATGATCTTGAAGAAGGTTTGAAGGGCTAGCAGTTTACTTAAAGCCACGCTAGTTCAAGATGGCAACAGTAAACTATAAACTTGAAAAGCGGTCCTGTTATAATTGGATTGAGTACTATCAAATAAGTACATGCTTTAACAGATTATGAAAAATTATTGATCAATATAGTAAATGGTATATTTTTCTGCCTTTTTTCTTACTAGTTCGTCCGGATGCTTTAATTTTGACTAATTAGTTTATTAAAGTATACTCCTACTGTGCTGTTGCAAACTTAGATTCTACCCGCTACATGTACTGTAGGAAACGTTTGAATACCAGAAAACACTTTACAAAGCAATGCGAAGACATCAGATGTTAGATACTACTGAAGAATTACCAATTATCTACTTTTCATCATTGATTTGATCCCAAGTTTGAAGATGATCGAACAACTTATAGTAAGTATAAATTAAGCTATAATAACTTAATAAAGATAATATGTTAGAATTTTGAAATGACAAAAAAAAAGATAAATAAAAAAAAAAACTTTACTTATGTTCAGGGACTCATATATCTACCAACTTCTTCTTTTTCGCCTATATATCCTATATATTTGTATTAACTATAAAGATTTAAAATAACACGAAAAATTATGATAGGAATATATATTTAATTTGTAATAATAAAATTTTATTTATTAATTTTGCTTAATTAGGTATACATCATGTTAATGCAATAAGTAAATAATTGAACAAAATTTTCTTACTGTGGATTCTGTTAAATAATTTTAGAATAGATCTTTGGACGTTTCTTTCATAACATCATCACTTGTAAATCTGGATTTAATTTTTGGTTAAATAAATATCACCAAATAAAATAAATAATATAAGCTAAAAAAATTCTTTTATGTAAATAAAGAGGTAGAACTTACTTAAATTCAAACCACCTGAATATTCTGATGTTCGTGTCTTTTAATAATAGTACTCCAAGACATTAATCCTTCACAATCCGAATCTTCAAAATCCACTTCAACCAATTTAGGAAATGAGGCAGTATTCATTAATTCTTTACAAACATTTTCACTTAAATTTTTACATCCACGTACGATCAATACTTCCAGTTGTTTAGAGTAATTAAATATTGATCTTAATGATGTACATTTTTCAAAATCAACTCTACGAAAATGTAACATTTTTAATGATTTAGCATGAACCTCTAATGCAGAAATTATTTTTGGTGTAATCTTTCCTCTCCTTAAATAAAAAGTTTGTAATCCTTTTTGAGTTTTAATGATATCTGCTAATTTATTATCAGAAGACCAAAATGTTTCATCTACTGTCATATCAATTTTAAGGATTTTCTATAAAAAAAAAAAAACATTGATATATGCAACTACTTATAAGAAAAGATAAAGTTGATACGAACCAATCTTTGACAGGTTTGACATAATAATTCCAAACAATCATCATTAACAAGTTTCCGTATATCCAAAGAAAGTTGTTTAACGCGTGATATAAAAGATCTATAATTTGGTTCTTGTAATAAAATCCACAACTCATGATGTAAACAATCTAATAAAGATCTTTTATCTAAATCAAGCTGGTAAAGTGTAATGCAAAGGTTGGCGAAGATATTAAGTATTCCTCTTAATAACAAATTATATTGTTTTGTAATTGGTTGAGGACAATTATTACGACACCATAAAAATATTGCAAGGGATAATTCATGCATACTAATCGATTTCAAGAATGAAGGATAACAATAAGTCGTAGATTCTATATCGCAAATATTATCAAATGAAATTCCAGATTTTTCTAATTCTTTACGTTCTTCTTCCTTAAAAAAAGCCATAAATGTTGTAATAGCTCCTGGTGATGGAATGATATTTGACCATAATATTGGTGCAGCATTTACACTCCAATATTTATTAACGAACATACAAGAATATAAATCTTCCAAAGTTTCTGCCCGATCAGTATTTATTCCATCATTATATAATATTGAAAAAATTTCTCGTAAAATTTCTGTTGGAATTTTATCAATATTTGAAGTTCCTATAATAATAATTAAAAAAAAATTAATTTATTGAAAAGAATTAACTTACAAATTTCGAAATTTTCAAGAAAAATCATTTACCGTTATTGTTGACTTTTAAGCAACGTTTGTATCGATAATGAGAGTAATATTCAGTTTGTGTCTTGTTAATATATATTAAAGCGAAACTTTTTTAATGTTTTCATTTAAAACTTTACTAAACTTTAATTAAAAATATATTTTCTTACCATCTTCGCTTTAATACAACCCTTACAAGGAGAAAATCGTGTATGAACAGTGAACAAAATAATCAAAATTACACATGTAAAATCTGTACCGATTAATCCGATTATCAGTTGATATTTTTATCCCACAACGTCATGTATGTTTAAAAATAGGATATATAATGAAAGGGAAACTCCGTCCATGTTTATAAAATTTCTATGAACAATAACAAAATTTTTTATGATAAAAATATTCTTTTTACTGAAATAAACTGAAGCCTTTATCTCTAGAAGCACTAATCAAGAAAAAAAAGGTTCTTTTACAAATTTGTTTCGATGGCTTGCGTCGAAGCGTTGGTACCAGATTTTTTCCGAAATTTACTTATTTGGGTTTGTTTCACTAGTTAAATTTTTCGAAAATGGTTACACAATAATTCAATATAAAATGATTGTCCTGATGATAATAAACGAGTTTTATTCTCTTTGAGAATTTTTTCTCGTACGGAACAAAAAAATTCAGGATGGTAGAGCAATATGTATGGCAAACTTTACCTCAATATCAAAATGAAGAAATTGATGTTTATATTACTGTTGGAACAACTCCCGATGCCAAAACATTTCCTGCTCATAAATTAATTTTAAATCAGTTTCCCTATTTTAATAATTTACCTTTCGTCCCAGATAATGAGAATAAAATTCAATCTGTTACAATTCCGGAATCCACACCAGAAATCTTTGAAGTTATATTTAGGTAACAAATTTATAAATAAAAGTTAATTATTGAGTTTATTTTTATTAAAAATAAATAAAATTTTCAATTTCATTTTCTCTTAGATACTTTTATACCGGAGCTCTTGATCCAGAAAAGCTTAAAGCTAAAGAAATTATTGAAATTTTAAAATTGGCAAATAAGTTGGATTGTCAAGAAGTAATTAAATTTTTACAAAGTTTCTTAGTTAAAAGAAAATCAAATTGGATAGAACATCATTTATTATACATTTATCGAATTAGTTCCGAACACAAATTTGATAAACTTCAAGAATATTGTAATGGTTATATTGACAGACATCCTGAATTAATGTTTCAACTTTCCGAATTTAATACAATTTCTGAAGAGATGTTAATTTCGCTTATCAAAAGAGATGATTTATTAATGGAAGAGGCTGTTATTTGGGAACTTGTTTTAAAATGGGGACTCTCTCGATATAGTTATTTATCGGAAGATCCAAAAGATCCAAAAAGTTGGTCAGATGAGGATGTCGACGAAGTTAAAAAAATCCTGAAGAATTGTTTACCGTTGGTTAGATTCTCATTATTAACTTCTCAACAATTTTATGAAAAAGCCCATCATTACATAGTTCGCTTTGATCCCGAACTAGATGATAAATTATTACAATTTTATTTAGTTCCAGGTACTTCAGATTTATATTTGTCCAGGCAAGCTGACATTAATGAATCTAAGATCATTACCGATTCTCACACAGTATCTCAGATTCTTAATCAATTATCAAAGGTAATTAATAATGAGATTTCATCATATAGAGATTATTATGACAGCAGAAGTCATAATAATTACGACCTTAAATTATTGTTGAGGGGGAGTAGACATGGTTTCACACCCAAAGTTTTTCATGAATTATGTGATAATAGACCTAGCACAGTTACAATTATTAAAGTCAAAGGAAAAGACGAAATATTGGGTGGTTATAATGCAGGGGAATGGAAGTCTAAGAATGGCTATGGAAGTTCTAAGAGTTTTATATTTTCTCTGAAAAGTACTAGTTATGGGATAAATGTGAGTCCTGTGGAATATAATGAAAGAGCATTAAACTATGGAATTAATTATGGACCGTCATTTGGATTAAGCGATTTGATTATATCAGGTCATAATTTTAAATATGGTGGTAAATGTTATTGTAAAATGGATGATTATAAAGTACATATCAGAAATACCGAAAATAATTTCTCGATTGAAGATTATGAAGTTTTTCAAGTCATTAAGAAATGATTTATAATTTAAATTAGGAATTTAAATTAGGAAGAAAAAAATTTTTTTTTCCCCTTTAGAATTTATTTGTTCGTAATTGAAGTATAAAGATTAAGATATTTTGTTCTTTGTTTTATGTTGAAAAAAAAAAATGATTTTTTTTTTTTTTTACCTTACAAATAAATTCTCTATTCTTATATTTAAATATTTATTATAAAGCTTATAAAGATATTTGACTATTTGAGATTAATGTATATTTGGATAATTATTAAATAAAGTTATTCGCCTCTATATTATATTTTTTAAAATACATGATTATTACTGTTGATCTATATATATATATATAATTAATAAAATATAAATTTTTTTTTTTTTTTATTTTATTCTTCGCATAATTATTCCTTGTCATGTTATTATTCATCGCCATAATATTTATCACCATAATTTCTCGCCGTAATACTCTATATTATTATACTTTGACATATCTTCGTTATATTATTATACTTCGACTCGCATATCGTTTATTCATCATCATTATCATCGTCATCATCATCATCATCATCATCATCGTAATCATAATCGTCATCATCATCATCATCATCATAATTTTCGGTTTGCTTTCCTTTTTTCACCTTTTTCTTCAATTTTTCTCTTCTCCTCATTTCTCTTCTTTCCATTTTAGCTTTAACTTTATCTCTTTTTTCTTTACCACTTTCATTTAACCAACTCATAAAAAATTTTTTTTGTTCAACTTCTCCTTTACTAGTCACGTTTAAAGCTTCTTTAATACTTTCAGGTGAACTTATAGAATAAATTCTATCTAATAAAATTTTTATGGTACTTAATTGTGATAATTTAGCTGCATAACCCAAAATGTTTAATGATTCAACTTTTGTTAATAATTCTTTTTCTTTTTGTTCTTCCGTTAAATTAAATGTTACTTTTGGTGTTGTTGTCTCATCTTTACTTGTACCAGCAAGTTTTATAATATCACCATCATCATTATCATTATCATAATTATTATTATTAATTTCTTCATCAAATTTTTTTTGTTCTCCCATTCTAGCATTCACATCAACACCCCATTTAATTAATCTTTTAATTAATTTTTTAACCCATTCTTCTTTCATATTTAATCCCATATCAACACATACGAATAATAAATTAGGTAATTTTTTACCAGGTATAGTAATTTGTCTATTAACATCAGCACCATATCTAACCAATAACTTTAATATTTTATAAATTTTTTCAAATGGTCCACCACGATGATTAAATCTAATTTGAGTTAAAGTATATCCTAAAGGATTACCACCAATTTCATTACTTAAATTAGGATTCGCTCCATTATCCAAACAAAATTTAATTACATTAGGTGTTAATTCTTTATACCATTTAAATAATAATGTAATTAATAATGTATCCCCATTTGACCTTTTTGCATTAATTAAACATCCATTTGTTATTAAATATGTTAATGAATCTTTAAAATATTGTGAATTTGTTTCTGATGAAAATAATGATTTGTTCTCTCCTAAATAATTTATTGGTGATCCCCCTGTATATGAATTTGTACAATCACATGTTGCCCCCATTGATATTAATGATGTAAAAGTTTGAATTATATTTTCTCCTGGACAATATTGTGCTACCTCTATCATCAATGGTTCTAATGGTCTCCTATAACTAATATTACATAATATTATATTAATATAAATTTTTAAAGAATAAAAAAATATAAAATACATTTTTTTTAAATACCTATTTCTTGGACCTGTTATTTGTTGAATTTCATTTAATTTTTCTTTTTGTACATGTATATGCCATTTTAATCCATCTAAATCACCTTTTTTTGCATGATATGCTGCATAACATGGTGCTGAATTAATTGTCCAACTATTTGTTGCAAATAATACCTTACAATATTCACTATATGAATCTACAATGATATATTAGTAAAAGAAAAAGGAATTTCTTATAAAAATTAATTAAATAATTACATTTATCTGGTTGTGTTACTGATATTGATTTACTAATAGAACTTTCTGATGCACTTCTTCCTGTAAGATTACTAAAACTAAATAATCCTACAAGTTGTAAAAATATAATTTTTAGTTTTATTTTTTTTTTTAAAAAAAAAGTCAAAATATAATATAATAATAAAATTTAAACCTCTATTAATCGAACTATCAGATTTTGTCATTATTGGACTTTCTGGTTCTTTTATATCTTTAATAATAAAAAATTATTATTTTATTATAAGTTTCAATTGAATATATTATAATATAAAAGATTAATACCTGTCTCTTATACACATCTAGATGTGTATAAGAGACAGGATTAATACTGCAGATTTACCTGAAGATACAAATGTCCAACCAGTATCTATTCGTTCCCCTTGATCTATAACTTCTATAAAATAAAAAAATTGTAAATTATTCATATTTATATAAAATTTTATCGCTTTAAAAAAAAAAAAATTATACATACCTTTACTATCAAAGCTCATACTTTTTGTAAAAGATTTCTAGGGAAAACAAATAAAGAAAATAAAATAATTATCATCATTAAAATATCTATTTATATTTCATAAACTTACTTTAATATTACTTGTATTAAGATCACTACCACTAGTAGATCCAGATAATCTTTTTACAAAACCTTTTGCTTTATTTTTTGCTTTATATGTCCATGATTTCTTTTTTATACTTAATTTTTTACCTAATTCTGGCTACAAAATAAATAAGTATACATTTTTGTTAAAAAAAAATATTCAAGATAAAAGAAACCCTACTTTGTTTCGTTACCTCATTTGTTATTAATTTTACTTCTCTAATTCTTTCTTTTTCTACTTTTTCTTTTTCTTTTTCCTTTTCTCCTTTTTCATCTTTCTCTACTTTTGATGAAAATTTTATAAACGTTAAAACAATTGTAACCCAGCTTTGGTAAAAAACCATTCAAATTAAATAATTATATACTAATGCTTACTTTCAATTGGACTTTCTAGTACTGTTTCTTTATTATTATTATTATTATCTTCTAAAGTGAATTTAAAAGTTAATAAATTATCAAAATCATCAAGATAATTTTAATTATAAGTTAATACTTTTTGTTTTAATTTCTGTTGGAATAATAATATCTTTCTTCTCTAAAGTATCATTTTAACAATAGCATTGAATGTGATGTTAATAAATATAAATATAATGAACGAATTGAAACAAGTTTCAATTGATTACCTAGCCATAATTCTGCTGTCATTGCGTCGATTTCCAATTCTCTAAATTCTTTATCTTTAAAGAAATTAAAATTAAAGAAAGAGACGTATAAATTACGAATACCGTCATCTGAGGTAAAAGGAACCGAAATTTTAAGAAAATAATGTTATTTTACCTTGTTCTGAAATTTCAAATTCGTCCGGATGATTCAAGATCTATAAAGAATAACAATTTACACATAAGAACCATTATTGAAATAATTTATTACGTAAGAAAAAAAAGAATTGATACATACTTACAATAGACGTAATAGAGTATTTATTAAAAAAAATTTAAATAAGTTATTATAGTCATAATTTTATTTTTTTAACGGGTGAAAAAAAAAAATAAAATAAAATAACAAACCTGATTTCATAACATTTAACAGATTATCCAATTTATTTAATATTATTCCAATCGCTGGCCTCTTATTAGGGACATTATTCCAACACTCAATGTACAAATCGCTATAAGTCTTTGGTGTTTCCGATATAATTTTTTCTCGTTTATTTTTTAATATATTTGATATTAAATCATTTTTGTCCAAGTCTTTATTGTTGCTGTTATAAGGAGGGTTTCCACTTGATATTTCCCACAATATTACTCCGAAACTATAAATATCAGAACGCGTGTTTTTTTGATAATTTTCATCCTGTAATAATTGTGGTTCAATATACGGTATATCTTTAATCGAGAAATCATCGTAAGATGAAGAGTTGTGAATCACCAAATGTTCTGATATACCGAAATTTGTTAATTTTGCACGATTTTGGTGAAACAATACGTTCCAGGGATACTAAAAATTTATGCGCAGTAAAAAAAAAAATATTAAAAAATAAAAAAAAAAAGATAAAAATAAATTATGCCGAAAAAAAAAAAAGATAAATAAATAATGTATTAATATAAATTTTTATACCAGATTTTCATGTATTATTCCATTTGAATGAAGAAAATTCAATCCCTCAGCTATTTGATGAGCTAAATTAAGTTTATCGACCCACGATAATATAGTATTTTCTAAAATATGCCGTAAATTTCCTCCATCTGCATATTGTACCACTAAAAAACAAGAATTCGTCGTTGGATCTATCGAATAAGATGATAAAAATTCTCTAAATGTTATTTCAAGATAAGGTTTTATATATAAATATATAAATAAATATAAGAATATATGTTGGAAAAAACATAATAATTACTTTGAGATACCCCAAATATTTGAATTATTCGTTCATTAAAGTCCCTTCTTTGATGTAATTTTAACTGGAAAAAAAATAAGAAATTATATATAATATTTTATATATATTTATTTATGTATGAGAGGGAACCAATAATCAATCATCTTATATCACAACAAATTATCGATACTTTACCTCAAGAAGGAATGATTTTTCCATCTTATTATCAATGGATATATTATCATTAATAATTTTAAATAAAACTCTTTTTCCAGTTTCTTTCCAATAACTAATTTTATTATTATCATCACTTTCAAAGTTATTAACAACAAATTCTTCAAAGGGAATTAAGCTGATGTAATGCGTTTTGACTACATCATCGATCCACTTCCCACTATCAACCATTGTTTATTTATTTATTTAAATTAGATTATTATTTTTCTTAAAAAAATATTTAAGGGGCAGATGATGTGTATATATATATATATATTGTATACATATATATATATAAAATATTTTTTTTAGGAAATAGGAAAAAATATGGTAATAAACCTGTTCTCATAAAATTGAATGAAATATATAAATAAATTTTTGTATATTACTAAATTTGTATTTTTTGTAATTAATGTTGTAATTTTTTTGTGTGGGTAAAAATTTTTTATGGTATAACCATAAAAAGAGAGAGAGAGATTAAAATCTGTTGTGAGATGTAATTAAGTACCTTTATTAAATTGAATTTCTATTGTTGAAAAATTTACGCGAGAATATAACAAATTTCATTGTTGGGTAACCCATAAAAGCACCAGTTAAACAATCCCTACTAATTTAAAGTTAGGAATTTAGTACAACAACAAAAAATTTTTTTTTTTCTTTTTTTTTTAAAAAAAAAGATGTAAAAAGAAAATAACGTAATATATTTATTGAGAGTTACACTGTACTTCTATATTAGGGTCATATGAGTAAATATACTGTTTATCGAATAATTTCAAAGTAATCGAAACCTAGAAATACAACTTGTTTGAGATTATAAAAGTCAATTTAAAATACCATTTAAGTGAATCCATTTCAAAATTCTATCTTGCTAAAGTAATAATCTACAATAATGGATAACCATAATTGGATAAATCATCTTTTGAAACGAAGTAACGAATAAAATTCCTTTTATAGATGGTAAAACGAATAATTTAGTTTCAAAAATGTTTTTTTTTTCAACAAAGAACAAGGAAAAAAAAAAAAAATTAAATAAAGAAAAATTCTTTAAAAAAAAAACAAGTTTTTTTTTTTCTTCATTTTAAGAAGGATATTAACAATAAACCTTGGCACAATCGTACGAGGTAACAAACCTTGAAATTACCATATTTATGATATTAGTTCGAAAAATTCTAAAGAATTCTTGTGGAAAGTTAGAAAAAAAGGGATTTGTGTTTCATTAAATCATTAAAAGTTTTTATAGTGTAAATAGGAAAAGACTTAATTTGTCATCATCATTGACCCATTATTAAATAACAAAATATAAACACAAATCTTAATTTTTAATTAAGAAGATCGGTATCACCAATTTCAACACTATGTATGAAATTTCAAGAGATTAATTGTTAAGTAACGAAAGTAACAATTATTATGCATTAAATATATACACATTTAACTTGATTCGTAAGAAAATGAATTAAAATATTTCTATCCAAAATTATATTTTAAAATTTTTTTTTGCAACTATTCATACGTTACCTATTACAATAAGGATAACAATAAGAAAGATTCCATTGTGGAACACGGGATTATCAAGAATGTTTGATCAAAGCAATAAATTCAAATTGAGAAAAATGTGTGCGCCCATTCTTATGATTTCAAATGGAAGATTCTTTTACACTTTTTACCGCAGTAAAATATTATACTGTTCGGTTAGTAACTAGTAAGTAAAAACGCGAATAAGTTGAATAAGTTAAAAGCAATTTGTTTGCTATTTATAGATTTTATATTTCATAGATCTCAGTATTGTCAGATATCACAGATATCAGATGATCGTACTATTGTATCAATTACTATATTTAAACTTATTATAGGTATTGGATATGGGATGTATTAGTTTAATAATTGATAATAATACATTTTTTATTATTAACATTATTGATATTATTGATATTATTGATATTATTATTGATACTGATACAATTTATACTATATACTGTAGGTAACCTGTAAATGATAATTGATACCGAATTATAACTCAAAATCCCTTAACTGGTTTCATCTATAATTAAATTCGTATTTTTTTAGAGTACCTTTTTCTTCGAATATTTGACAAATATTTTCAAACTTTTCTTTATCATCACCATTCACACAATGAAATCCTATTTTTAATCCTCCTTCTTTGTATTCTTCATCATAATTTACTAAAAAATTTTCTAATTCCTCATTATTAAAATTCCATTTTCCTATCAAATTAATCTCCTTTAAATTATTTAATCCTCTTGTAGATAATAATTCGAAAAATGGTTTGGCTTCTAAAATTTCATTATTTTCATCCTCATTTATTCTCGTTTCAAGTAAAAGATGATTTAATTTAATACAAGATGATAATAATAATTCTATATCTTTCAATTCATTATTTGTCACCCATAAATTCAAGTCTTCTATTAAAGGACAATACTCTATAATAGTATTAATATAATTTGTTATAAAATTATCATCTTTTATATAATTTGTTTCTATTTTAATCTTCTTTAACTTTGAATTCGACTGTTTTAAAAGTGTTATGAATGAATCAAATAAATTTATCTCAAATAATGTGATCTCTAATACTTCTAATGATGGTAATTCAATAGAATTTAATGAAATCATATTTTTACCAATAAAAGTATTTTCTTTTCCTAGATCGATAGATAAATGCTTTAAATTTATCAATGAATTATTAATAATTAATGATGATATATCTTCTTCTTTAAATTCAATAGAAATTAAAGTATTTGTTAAAGAATTTAATGAATTTGATAAATTTGTTAAATTTGAACATTTTTCATAATCATAAGATATGAATTTAATCCATTTTAAATTTTCTTGTGATGATATTAATTTTGCCAATCCAATATTATCATAATTTGGATAATTAAAATATATATAAATAATTAATTCTGTTATATTATTAGTTATTTTTGATAATTCATTAAAAATTTCTTGTGATATTCTGGTTGTACATTCTAATTTTACTATATTTTGAAAATTTTTAATATATTTATCATCTTCAAAAAAATTTATTAATGATAAATTATTAGGTAAAATAAAATAATCAATTTTTGGTAAATTATTTAAAAATAATTTCCATAATTCTTCAATTAAAATATTTTGATTAAAATAATTATGAAAATTATTTTCACTTAATATCCCATTGGATATTTTAAGTATTAAATTTTGTGATAATATACGACAATATGATATATAATTATACATGGGATGATTATTAATAATATAAGATTTTGTTATATCTTTAAATATTATTAATTCTTTAATAGGTATAGGAAGTGATAAAAGTATTGTATGAGATATTGGTTTCCAAAATTTTTTTGAATAAAATGTATTTTTCCATGGGTAATATCTCCAAAGTATTGATACTCCAATTTTTGACCAACTATGATTTAATTGTATACAATTATATAAATCATGAGTATTTTCTGATAAATTTTCTAATATATTTGTTATAAAATCTTCGTTAAGATTTGTAAGTGCCATGTTTTCTTGAAAAAAAAAAAAAAAAAAAAAAGGAAATATGTATATATATATATTTTTTATTATTATTATTATTTTATTTGATCAGAACGTTTGGTTGACAGATATTTTAAATTATATATAAATATTTATCATTTATTAGATTTAATTCTGTCTGATTGTGTAATCTTTTAAAAAAAATTAAATTAAAATAATTTCCGTTAATATCAATCAAAAATTTTGATTGGCTGATACTGGAGTTTACGTTCCGATTATAAGTTATAACCAATCAATATTATTATGTAAAACATGAGTTACATTTATTTCACAGGGGTACACAAACAATAATAAGATCCCAAATAAAAATTATACATAAAGAGAATGTGATAATCAGGACAAATTATCTTGCGGATCTTCCCTCAACATTAGTCAATCGGTCAATCGGAAAAACTACTAAAATTTATTGGTTCAAAAGATTAAAAAATATGTAATATATACATAAAACCCTTATCAGGAAATGTCATCATGAAATTTTTGGGAGTTTATCGACCGTTTCAGAATTTTCTTAAAATTTAACGCTTAATAATAAGGATATTCGAACTTGTCTCAAAAATCATTCGAATCATCGGCCCGTGGAAATATCCTTCGGTCGACTTATTATAATCTACGTCATTGTATTACCCAATGGGTGCACGCGCAGTCAAGAATATACGTAATTTTTGTCATGCCCGGTGTCACTTTCACACCTTAGAAGTGATTTAAGTCTATTCTTCACCCGTAACACAATCGGCAAAATTCCATAAAAATTTCGCATTTTTTTTTAGCAATAACTTCTCATTAATATAATGATGATTATAAATAATGAAAATTAATATTTATTAATTATAAATAATTCGATATAATATATTTGTTATTATGTTTACTGTTTCAAAATCAAAAGTTTAGACCAAAACGGAACCTTATCCATAAAATATTATCTATTATTTTTTTTTGGCAATTCATGTAAATAAACTTAATTTAATATGATAAATCACTATTACTTATTTATGTATGAGATACCGTATATCATGCTATGATTTCTCGAATGTCATTTTCTCGAATATATGGTTTTCCAAAAGTCATTTTCTCCGATTAATCATATCCCGGACATTTTACCGAATTAATAAATGATGTATAGGATTTGAAAATGATTGACTGTCAAAAGATCATTTGATCAGTTGATTAGGATTTTAATGACCGATATTTTTTATGAGACTTCCAATATTGAAAGTAGCATTAATTCTTATTGTTCACCGCAGTATTCCTTCCTAATGACCGAATTATAACTCAGTTATAGATATCAGTCTTTGACCGATATCTCTTTTCCCCCATCCAATAACTATTTAATATATATAATAAAATAATAATGCAATATGTACAATATGTACATAAATTTTTTTACGTGAGAACCATAAAAAAAATCACCTAATAATTATCGTTCTTGACGCAATAATTCATTAATCCTTGTTTAATATTATTTATTGTCAATAAATACATATATTATGGAAATTGGCATTCGGGGATTTCGGAAAATGATCCAGTTCAGGAAATGAGCATCCAGAAGATTGACTTCAGGAAATGATACATTTGGGAAAATGGGAAAATGGCATTCATGAAAAGATCCGACAATAGTACCCCGAGTATCTTGCAAATTCGGGTATATTACATGGGTGGTTACTATACTTGGGGAATAAATACTTGTTATCTCATTGTGTATGAAGTATATACCGATGGATTTTATACTTTTTTATACTTTTTTATACCGGTGGAGTAATTTACAAAAAAAATCCATCGGTGTATACATAATACCGATTGGATAAAAGAATTTATATTGCGTAATAAATTTTACATAGTTCTCGGATATTTTACAAATTTTAAAATTTAAAATCGAAAATTACCGTATATAGATAGTATCCGGGTATTTTAAAATTCAGGAAAATTTTTTGAGGGGTACTATACATACATAGACGGGGTACTATGGCCCGTGATATATAGTAATTATTAAAAAAATTTGAGATTTGTACCGTAATGATTTCGATTGGATTAAGTTTTTTATTCAACCCAAAACTTAATAATAATAATAATAATAATAATAATAACTGATAATAATAATAATAATAACTGATAATAATAATAATAATAATGGTTTTAATATTACCGTATAACCCTGACTAAAATGCTCGGTCTAAATCAAATTTATCCGATTTAAAACGACCAAGGTATAACTTCCATCCCGTCAATATTAATAATATATGCATGAAATTCGATTTATTTAAATATGACGATTTTTTAAGGAAATTCTTCCAATAGATCCTACGTATTACATTTTAATGTTTATACAAGAGGGAAAGGTATGCTAAGTAATTTTTGGTATACATAATAAATGCATTTAACACGTGAATCTTCTTGTTACATAATACAATAATAGGAGCCATATTGGATGTAGGACGGACCGATTAATGTTGATCACCCGATATTATTATAGGTATACACAGTTATGATTACAAAGATTACTACCAAAAATCGTCTTACCGACAATGGCATGGTAATTTCGCTGAATAAATAACATTTTGAATCATTGACTTTTTTATTAATTTTTTCATTAAAAAAATTTGATGTATTTAATGTATACAAATAATGTCAAAGTAATTTCGTAGCAGGTAGTTTCACAAATATCCATTAGAAAAATTTAAGATAGAATAAGGATACAAATAACGTTTTATACATAATAAATGTGTTCACTTTAATAAGTTATTTCAAAATAAATAGTAAGAAAGTAAAAAAAATGTTTGATCATTAGAATAAAATTCGGGGAAATGACTATCGGTGAAATAATTGTCGGTGAAACGATCCTATCGATAAAGATGGTCAATGGTCCTACTCGGTCCGGTCTAAGCAAGTCTGCAGCAAGACTGATCCTAAAAAAGACTGTGGTCTTGTTGATTTATTACGTGATCGATAAGGACCATAAGAGACTGCGTCCAATGTGGTCCGGTCTTTTTGCCACGTAGGACCGGAGAGGACCATGGTCCTTAGGATCATTGACCATCTTTACCTATCGGGTGAAAATGATTTTCGGCGAACTCACATTGACTATCGGCGAAATAATTGTTGACGAAACGATCCCGTCAATGAAATGGTTTTCGGTAAACTCACTGTTGATAAGTTGACTATCAGTGAAATAATTGTCATCCCGTCAGTGAAATAATTTTTGGTAAACTCACTGTTGGTAAGTTGACTATCAATGAACAATTGTCGATGAAACGGTCCCGTCGGTGAAATGGTTTTCGGTAATCTCGCTATTGGTCGATGCAATTTGATGTAGCACACTTTGAATTATTACAATTATTAATCAAATTAAAAAATGATGCGATGCAATTTGGTGTAGCACACTTTCAATTAGTAATCAAAAAGAAAAAAAAAAATGACGCGATGCAATTATTTTGGTGTAGCAATTTCGGATTCATCTTTATGCAACCTTTTTTTATTCGCCTATTTTTAAATTACCGTATAGCACTGATTAAAAGACCTCGCATAAAATACCGTCTCAATATATTGAATATGTACATTTAAAATCATATCCGACAACATAATAAAATTTTGATTGGTATAAATCAATGTTATATCAGTTTTAAAATTGATTTTAGATCAGGATATTATAGTCAATGCTATATGATATTCATATAGGTTCTCGAATATATTTTGGCAAGTCATCGATCATTTGCAAATCTTGTTTCAGCTAGGGTCTCAATTTTACGTTTATGACGAGCAAGTCGAGCATATTAGTAATCATAAAGCTCGCATGATTTGTAATTATTAATGAGATATTAGTAATTCTGTCCTTAAGCCATCCGTAAAAATATAAATAAGAGAGTATTGGCAGAATGTCCAAGCAATAATAAAATCATCTAAACTCTTAAAAAATTTAAATTTACAATGCAATCTTTCAAAACCATAGCTATTGCTGGAGGCACAGGAACTTTGGGTTATTATGTTTCTGAGGCCTTTTTGAGCGACGGATCTTATAAAGTGAAAATTCTTCGTAAAAAACCGGAAACAGTAAATGAGAAAGCTAATTTGTTGGTTTCTAAAGGCGCAGAGATCGTATATGTGGATTACAATCAAAAAGATGACCTCGTAAACGCTCTTAAAGGAACTGATGTTCTTGTTAGCATTTTGAGTGGCTTTGACACTTACAATATTCAATCCAAAATGTTGACCGTTGCTAAAGAAGTTGATGTAAAGAGATTTATCCCAACCGAATTTGGTGGCGAATACAAGTGCGTTTTTTCATTTTTTTTTTTTTTGTTAATATAATATGAAATAAATCTAAAACTTTTTTTTTAAAAAAAAAAATGAAGGCTTGGGGATCATATTTGTACGGATACCAAAGCCAAATTTCGAGAAGATTTGAAAAAAAGTGGACTTGAGTACACGTTCATTTACAATGGGGCATTTCAGGAATTTCTCGGCTGGGTGGGATTTGATGTTAAAAAGAAGGAAGCTACGTTTTTTGTGGATGAAAATAAAATTATATCAACCACTTCTCTGTCTGACATTGCCAAATATACTGTTGAGTCACTTAAAGTACCAGAAGCTCGTAACGGTGCTATCAGGGTTGCTGGCGCGGCTTTAACATTGAAAGAGTATCTTCAAAAATTTGAAGAAGCTACTGGTGAGTTTTTATCTTCGTTCTAAACACAGTCTTTTAATACAGTAACTAATCGTGATACGTACATTAAGGCTCGAAATGGAAAGTTATTGAAGATAAAGAAGTACGATATCGATACCTAAACAAGATCGACCCGGTTCCTTCAGATGCAGATGATTTCAAAGTCATGGCTCTTAATCATACATCGTTCGAAAAGCTTGACAACGATAAATTCAGCTTCACCCCGCGTCCTGTCACTGAAACTATCAACGAGCTTATTTCACAAGCGCAATAAGATCATCTTTCACAAATTCTGTCACATCTTACGTTTTAGTATTAATTCTAACGTATTTTAGTCAGTTCATTATAATGTAATTGTAACTTTTTTTTTATAAATAAAAAGCGATTTGGAATACAAAAATTTAATTTATTGTTATTATGAATAATTTTCAAACAATAACTATATTAAATTGTACGAATGTAAATGTATTAATGAATTTGTTTGCTCGAGCATGTTTACTTAAACCCGATTTTTTGATTTTCGTTATAAAATAATTTTAAGATTTTGAGCATAATAAGTTATAATGAGTTTATTTATCTTTACAGTATAATCGACACTTTTTAGCTACCCATCAAAAAAATTTTTGGTAAAGTAAAAACTTCTAACCGAGCATCCTTATCCTGATCCATAGATCAGATTCTTATCCTGATCCAGTGAATTTAATTGGATAAAATTGTTTTATGTAACTACAACAATATTAATTTCAAATAAAAATAAAAAAATTCGAAAATGTATTTACTAAAACTCTGAATTATATATTTTTATTGGCATTAATATAAAATCAAAAGAACAAGAAGTATTATCATTTTACCATTTTCAAAATATTATACAGAAGTTCTAATATTATACAATATATTTACTAAACTCAACCAAATACAATAACTAACAGTTTATTCCTGGCCCATCCGATAGACCCCAATGTGGGAAGTTCAAAATTATTTTTCTGCATACCTTTAATAAGGCCAACTAATGAGATATATTTTAATTCTAAAATAACGTTATTTTCTCCTTTACTACTTAAAATGAAAATGTCTGAAAAACCAAACCGGCCAAAATTCTAAATTCCCATTGAAAAAATAAATGAGTTAGCTAAGATGATAATGATATTTTTTTTAAAAATGTACGTTCTTGAAATATTGTAAAAAATGAGAGAAATAGGAAAGAACATACCAACAATCATCTTTCTTTTTGGCGAAAAATTTGATATCCATCAATAAATGCCATTAAAGCTATATCCCGAAAGTCTGAAAAGAAACCAGATGTACAGTATATAACACTAAACAGCTATCTATCATTTTGTTGACCAATCAAATTTGACTTGGCCAGGAGGATCAGTAAATAGTCCAGGTTAAGAAGTCTCGGAGCTACCCAATTAATAAAAAAACATGCGAAGATAACCTTTTTTTTATTTTTTGGCGGTACCTTTATATATAGCTTTCAAGTCCTTTTTAAACCATTGTTTTTCTTGATCTGACCACTCCACCATAGTCGAGGTGTTGGGAAAGGGCCTCCACGGATATACATACGCAGTGTAACGCTCAACCCTGTAGTAACGAAGCCATGTGTTGCGAGTATATTTCAACCATTCTTCACGCTTCGCTCTATATTGTCAAAAGAATAACAGATAAAGAGCTTACCTTAGCTCCTCAGCTCAAAATTGTTGGCGAAGAAAGTACCGGCCAAGTTGATTACGTAATCAAAGCCCTCGAGGAACTTCTTTGCATCACAGAAGGGAAGCTACATCAAGTGGTTATGGGTTTCGTTCAAAATTTGATTCAATGTGAATAGCATGGAATTGAGATAACTGCATAGTCTCATTACTCCTCCCTGGTCCTTTGGAACGCGAGAAATGATTTAACTAAATATGATAAGAAATATTAAACAGCTTTCTATCTGGAAATTTTAATCTTTTTCTTCAAATGAATAGGTCTATATGAGAAAAAAGGGATTTAATTTGACTCGCAATCATATAAAATTAAGATATGTTCAAGACTGATAAAATACTACCCTCCGAATATCTTCAGAAGTACATGCATACAGAAAACAAAGTATCTGATTTATCTTTTTCTGAACAATGAAGAAAAGTGTCTATCACTTTCGAAGCCAAACCCGATCCAGAATTAATTATCAAATCCGTCTTAGAGCACTTTCCATACTTGAAATTCCGAAATAGTTTTAGAGGGATTGATAATTATAATTTTGCATTTGCTCAGCCGTGGGACTCACCATGTCCAATTTGTTACGGAAAACAGGGAATTATGGATTACATGGCGAATGGTATAGAAATGAAAAGGAAATCTTGTCTCACCTGCAACAGTTCAAGCAATAAACTCAAATTCGCAATTGTAACATAGAAGCCTCATCATTTAGAATGGACAATTGTATTTATTTTTTTATCGTTCGCTTATCACCTGATATGTAAATGTCAGAGACTGTGACCACGGATCACGGTCTCAAAATTTTGGCACTTTTTTTATATGAAGTATTGTAAAGTCGTGTAACTTATCAATTGATGAGTCAGATCAATCTGTGCGACATCGATTTCTCATATATATCCAGCCTGTGAAAAAAATTTTACCTATCTTTCTTATCTCTCCCTACGATGCCTGTCGTAATTCTTGGTACACAAATTACACTTTGGTGCTTTGATTTACGAAATGATTCTAAATTCAAAGTCATTATCGGAGATGGTAATGACATTGACGACTTCAAGGAAGCTATTAAGGAAAAATGCAAACCGTTTTTTGATGGTTTTGGTTCTTACGCGCTTATATTGTGGAGAGTTAATGCAACTAATGCAACTCAAGTTACTCCTGATATACTAAATGATAAATTAGTGGATACAGCAAAAACAATTGAAGAGACTTTTAGTAATATCCAAGGAAGTAACATTCGAGTTGTAGTTAGAGCTCCTGAGAGTCACAACAAGTTTAGTCAACGTGATATAGTGTATTTTTTTTCGTCTTCTCTCGACCACACCGTGTTATATTCGCCAATAATACCGAATACTTACTTATTCTTGTGCTTTTCTTTCCTGCTTCTTATCGTCAAACCCGCCAAAAAAAAAAATTCGTGTTATCGTAGAGCAACCTGGTGTTGGTAAGTGAGCCATAATAAATTAAAACACGAGTGAACACGATATGGCTTGATTTGTTTTCCACAATAATAATGAATATTCTACTATATAATGTTAATTCTTTTCTGAACAGGTCAAGGAAATTTTCCTGATATAGCGTCTCTGGAGAAAAAATTTGAGAAAGTCGTAAATGAAGTAGGCAGTCTTAGACTTGAAGTGGAACGTGATTTTAGGAAAATGCGTAATGTTATAAAGGCATCACTATATTCACCAGGTATTTTATTCATCCAGTCCATCAACCATTTCTGCAACCGCCATTAACGATTTGTTTTTAGGTACTTTTACGGAAACTGAGAAGGGTAAATTGGTGAATAAAGGAGATGAAATAGGGTTTCCACTCAACTTGACTACGAGTTCCAAACAAAGAGCGCCTGGAAGGTTTACCGAATCACCTAACAAGGTCCCAACAGCAAATCCAAAAGAAGAAAAAATACGAGATTACTTTATGAGCGAATGCTTGGCACTAGAAAATAGTTCTTCAATAAATAACAAGCTTGTTATTAAAGATACACGTTCTTCACCATTGCTAGAAACTCGGAAGCCAGATTTTGTATTCATTCCAAATGATTCACATTTAGATCAATTAAATGTTGTTGCCGTTGGTGAGGTAAAGAAGCGAACCGGTGGAGGTTTTAGCAACGCACATATAGGACAAGCGATATCATATGGAGAAAAAACACTCCTACTTCAGCCACGCCGAAACTCCATATTTGTTGTGTTAACTGACTGTCTTATAATTAATGTCTATAGGGTGACTAGGATTAATAATACTAACTTACCAAATCCAGTCACCCAATTCAAGTATGAACGTATAGCACCCCAGAATTTAATATTCAAAAACGGTTCTGAAAATACAGGATGGAAATACTTGGTAACAATCATGGAAAGCTCTCCGGATGTGTTAGGATGGGTCAAACCATCATTGACATTTGGCAATGAAACTGTAAGCCTGGTTCGATCTATTGGTGTGGGCAGAACCAGTGTTGTATATGAAGGAAAACACAATGAAGTATCTATGGCCGTGAAAATGGCAAAGAAGATAGATTATTTGCCTTGTTTTACTAAAGAAAGAATAGTATTGGAGAAACTGTCGGAATTGGAATCACCCCATATTCCAAAGATCCTATTTTACAATGATGACGTACTTGTTTTGACTCCACTTGGTGAGAAGATTAATAATTTGCGAAAGAAAGATATCAAAGATATCATTACCACCCTCCAAAATGCTCATTCACTTGGAATCATACATAGAGATCTTAGGAAATTTAACCTTTATCGTAATTTGGATGATTTATGTGAAAATATTCTTATTGTCGATTGGGGTTACAGCGTAAACAACTCTGAAAGCGCCATATTTGCAGGGGCATTGGAATGTATGCCAGACTATGTCCTGCAATCATTAATCAACGGAGAACAGATTGCTTATGGACCACAAGTTGATTTGACCTGTTTTGTTCGTTCATTCTATTTAATGCTCCATAGACCAACGTTAGATAGAGTTCCCTTCGGCAAAGATGATAATATCGAAGAACGAGCACATATGTTATTAAATTTCTGGAAAGATTGTAGACAATCAGATGTATGGAATAATATCTATGAGGCGATAGATAACTTACGCTATGATCAGTTAATTCAAGAGCTTGAAAAGTTATTTTAGATAGCTAGTTTTAGGTGTATCTCTTTTAATGGCTTTGATATAAACAAAAAATATAAATGTAATATTATAGCTCATTGTTTTCCATCACGTATTAAACACTGATAAAGCATTGTTCACCCTTGAATTTTTTTATCTTACATGTGTAGATGTGTAACTGTGCATTGTATGTTCTTGCAAGTGTTCCGAAACTGAATGTGCATGTGATTATTAATGATTTGTTTGATAGGATCAAGCGAATGGTCATTCATATATTATCTTTGATGCATTGGATAATGATGATTCTCTTATGTGTAAACCTTTTCTTAACCGCCCTTTACTCTTCTCAGATCATGCCCACTGAAAGAGCGAAATCATTGAAGGTCCTGAAATAGTGTTCTCATTCTGACATAAAAGATGATTTATTTTATGCTTTTAGTTGGCAGTAAATCAATGAAAATAAAGATATCGTGTATATGTTTTTTTCGTCACGAAAAGTGACAATGGAAAATTCTGAACAAAACCGTTCCCTCAGGGAACGATCAGAGTCATGTGGCTTCGGAAATAATTTCATCAATCATTGAGATTATGTTCAAAATAGGGTCAAGCGAAGGCTGATCCAGCCAAGATAACCTTAAATTTAAGATCGCGTGAAATCGATCACCTGAAATGCGCAGAAAGATATTCGGAAAAATTCTTGCCGAAAGAATAGAGGATGTGCGACATGTAAGGTGCATATATATATATATATATATTCTCATTATTTTTTTTTCGCTTGTATAAAAAGTGTTATGGAATTCGAGCTTGCCTTACTTAGACAGACTTATGGCAAAGATAACTGGGCTCGAGTTTGAGAAAGCTGATCTTATTGAAAGAGTCGCGAAACTGGAAGAGAAGCAGTTGGAGAACGTAGTAATAAAAAACTTATTACATGCGTCACAAGTATCGCGAAAAACATCATATTGTTAGCAAAGCTAACCGGGTATGGATATTTTTTCCGGCAATCAATATTTCGCAAATGGGTTTGGGGATGTATGAATGATTCACAATCAATGTAAATTTACCAAATTTAAATTTATGATTTAAATTTATTTTTATTAGTTATAATGTATAAAATATATTTTGGCAATAAATAAAATCAATAAACGAAATCTCATTTTAGTAAAAATTTAAAAATTCAAAAGAATCCTTCTGCGCTTATAACTAATCTACCTCCTATTTATAATAAATCATAATTCTATTTACTTTCCTAATATATTTTTTTCCTAAAATATTATTTTAATTAACTTTCCTAATTGACGATCATTTCATAGATTCATTACCCATTGCCGGATTTTCTTGGATATGCGGGCTACCTAAGAAATTGCCGGCTGTCTAATGACAATTTCTTATAGAATTGAGGGCCATAGTGGAAAACCAAGAGGATGACGATACGCACTGTATTGGATCCTTACAAATCCAAATTGTGTTGATATATCAATGACGTCTTGGTAGGCACCAGCGTGAGAGCCGTATGGTTTTTATCGCCATCGCCAAGATCATACATTATGATCGATTTTCATGTTGCATAAAAAATTTTTTTATTTAATCAATTATATCAATAAAAGGAATATTCAAGCAAATAATTATATGTTTATATATTATAAACGATTATTAAGGAAAGTAAAAAAATTAAGTAAATCTAGAGTGGGTAGTAAAGAAGGTGATTGAAGAAGTAATTGTAGAGAAGGAAGAGGTAATCGTAATGAAGGAGGAGGCAGTTACCGTCGTGTTCTGTGAAATAATGATTTTTAATGAAACAGTCATAAAACTAAATCAACAAGATTCTTCATATAAAAAAAATTATACCATGATTTGCGTGAAAATTTATTTTATTTTATGAATCAACCAAAGACAATAGCGTAAAACGCAAAAATATTTTTTTTTTTTAATAAAAAAAAATCTTATTTTAAAAGATGAACTCTTTAAATAAAAATCATTTAGTAGATATCATTTTAATATCATTTAATAATTAATATTGATACGATATTGTTCCTATTGTTTATTGTTTAGAGTATATAATAAATAGTTTAAAAGTTTTAAAAATAGTTTTAATATTCTGGGTATGAATATTATTCCAATAATGATTTCTCCAATTTTTTTACTTTTTTTACCAAATTCATGTAAACAAATATAATTGTACAGTAATATAAATTTTATTATTGAAATATACTTGGGGATATAAGTTTTCTAAGGGCAAACCCTACCAAGAAAGACTCCTTACAAAAATAGCGTTAAATATATTTTTTTTATTGCATCAACATAATCATGTTAGATTTTTTAAGCGTACCTGATAATTATACATAATATCGTAATGTAATGGATACATATTAACAATAATTAACTTAATCTTTTATAGTCTATAATGTTAGAATAGAAAGTCTATCGTTAAAAAAGTATATTAAAAAAGTTTAATGGCCAGAACTGTGATATGACTGATATGTGTAATAGTTATTTCACGGCCACTGTGGGATATCATGATTTCCGTGAATCCCAAAGTTTTCCGTAAAATAGCTATTGCATAATTAATTGCGAAACTGCACAAATAAAACACATACGTGTAAGAAAAATCCATCTTTTTTTTATTAATTATTTTGTCATAGATGCATTATATATTTTAGTTTATCCAACATGATAATAAGCATAGATAATTACTGTAGAAATAAAACCATTCACAAGGAACTACATCTCAATTCTATATTGAATCAATTCTCCCCCCAGATCATCTTCTACGCCTAAAAAAATACTATCGTCTCTAGTCGCATAAATGCCAATAACCTCAACATCGTTACCGTAAAGTAGTTTGATTTTTTGGTCAATTAGTTCATACGCATTGTTATATGAAGAAAGGTTTGGCTGTAAAATTGCAAAAGAATTAAAAATGTTTCTATCACTTCAAGAAAGTAATTTAAATAAATACTTTTCTTGATCTCTTCTCAATACTCCCGGAACTGCTTTATGCATCACGTTCAATGATTTTACTAAGCCTAAAATATAATCCATTTTAAGAATTTAAAATTATCATAATTCATACATGACACGTCAAAAATTGGTTTCTCTAACACTACCTTCAAAAATAATACTCCACTATTCGGGCTTGGAATTTTACCTTCGCTTCGGAGTGACTCCATACATAAGTATCACATGAACCTATGATTTCACTTCGTAAATAATATGCAACCATACAAATCATTATGATATTTTGCAGCAGTAAACGCTTCTTTCAACGCAGCACGATGTCCTTTCCTTTTGTGAGTTTGTCCATCATTTCCGAAGTCAACAAGATCCTTTCTAACTGCTCTTAATTTGCTCTACATAAAAAGGATGATGTTAGTAAAGTGACTTGAACAGGAAGTGTCGATAAATTACTTACTTTCTTGGATCAAAGTTATTAGCCTTGCACTTCACTGGATCGAGATAGTCAACAGGTATAATAGGCTTCACATGCCTCAAGAGTGCCTTTGGGCGAGGCTTTAAGTCTTTCGTAGAGCAAATACAACATGGTTGGTATATTGTTAGTCACTGAAATGACCCGTGCTTATCAGGAAATTCTTTTTCTAAAGCGTGCGACATGATTTTTTCTCTAATCTCTTGATATTCAAATTTGATATTGAAACAAAATCAGATATAGAAAAATAGGATCTGTAAAATTTGACCTCACGTGTATGCCGGGTGGGACACGTGGTGAAAGTGGTGAAAGATCAAACTCATTTAAAGAATTGAAACTTTTTGTGGGTAACGTTTTTGCAGCAATAGTTAATGAATGACAACTTGAGAAGGCTGAATTTACGTTTATGTGTAAATTTAAGCAAGGAAATCACGTCTTTCCATATTCTAATGCTTTAATAATTAATATGATCTAGGTTTTTTTAGATAATATTTTCTACTTGCTTTTCTTGAAGCTTTTAAAATATAAAAAAATTTTTTCCAGATGATTTGAAATTTGAATCAATGCAAAAACTCTCCTTGTTTGAAATAAGTAGTAACCGGTCACAATTAAAGGTGAAATTGAGCCTTCTCATTTCTATGTTAAATAAAATTTATAAATTAACTTGATATATAATTTTCTCTATGTAAATCTTTTCCTTGAAGAACAGAGATAGTAAACTTATTCATTCAAGAAGTATCCATATAAATTTCCAAGGTATAATTAGTTAGGTGGGTAGTCTGCTACTTTGGCACACCCATTTATCACTTTGCTTTGGTGGGAAGAGTATCTGAATGATTAACACGCATGGTACTAAATACTAATATGCAATTTTGGTGGAACGTCAATATCGTGTGATGAATTGATAATCTGCCTTTAAAACAAGGTATGCTGTAAAAATACAATGTGGTGAACAACTACAACGGACTTTCGAGCTGTCGGAAGCTAAAACCAGAGAATTATTTTTTTAATGGTCGCCTTGAAGTGACACTTACCAGTTTCGGTGTTGTCCGTATGAAATTTTATTAAATTACGTTTGCCCCAGTTCGTAATTTTTTCATTGAAAAAAGGTTTTTACAATGAAGCTAGAATATAGTAAGCAGAAATCATATAAACTGGGGCTGTTGTTAAGACGTAAGATCATAAAGTTGTGGATAATATCGCAGTTTAATACCGGGATAAAAAAGATATTATCCAAGGAATTACACGAAATATGGCATTCAATACAGCATCACTAAAAGAGACAAGTACGCTCGACCAGTTGTTACGCTTCAATCGCTTCAATGCTAGCTGCACTTTATTTTACATCACGGAATACACGCATACATTAATTTAAAAGATAAACCCCGAAGTATGAGCAAAATCTTTATTAATTTTCAGATAAAGAAGAATAAAATTGGAAGAGAAGCGAAATATTTGACATGCTTTAAAGAAAAGGAATATATGGATCCTAGGCCATATTATGTGAGTCCCGTATCATATTATCTCTCTCGTTTCTGGTAAATTTCTATATCTAATTATTTTATCTTTTAATTATCATAACTAACTATAAGATTCTTACACCTCCATAGTCTTACTATAAATACTAGATTTCAATCATCTATTTTACTTTGTAAAACAAAGTCTCGTATCTCACCTAACCCACATAAATGATTGTTCCAAAGCAGAAAGTTCATCAGAATTGTTTGATCTTGTCAATTAACTTATCAGATCTGTTTCAATTAAATTTAGTAATAATAAAATAACATTTGAAATGGGGAGTTTTATTTTTGTTATTTGGTGTTGAGATTATTGAAAAATATATTCTGATAATATTAGCAATAACTTAGGTGTGATTAGATTTATGAATTAGAAGCATCTTAATAATATTAATCCTAATCATAAAATAAAGTATAAAAAATATATTTTTCTATATTAACAAAATCCAAATCAAAATCTTTTTTTTGAAAAGCAATAAAGCTCACAAAAAGGCTAAATAACTTATTTAAAAATCAGCTATAGATCCTTACTATTTAATTTAGCAATTAAAAGGATTTTCAATAGTTACATTAATACCTTAGAAAAAATAAGTTAAATTAAGAAAACGTAAAAAGTTTATTAACCTTTGACATATAATGTGACACATAAAAATACATGATTATTGTCCCACAAAATAAATGAAGGAAGAATTGGTTTTTAAATAAATTAAAATCTATAATCTATCCATATAATTGACAAGTTCTTTCATGAAAATGATTTCCATGTCTTCTAATTTGATCAAAATCAGCCAAGCACCTGTAATGTAAAAAAAAACACAATGTGAATTCCGTGAAGTAATAACGAAAAAAAAAAATTATTTTCTAAAAAAATATATATATAAATATAAATTACTTACAACCAACAAAATTCATGCCTACAACTTTGAACTCTACAAGTCATATGATTACAACCACCATTTTTAGTAATTCTAACGCCGCATTTTGGACATTTTTTAGTTTCACGATTAAGTAAATCTTGAGTAGCCATATCTTCACCTTGTTTTGCATCATTATATTGTTCACAAGTAAGATTATCATGCCATGGAATGTCGTGAGTATAACATGATTTTTCACCACATGCTTTACAAGTCATTATAGGTTCCTTATCTAATATTGAGAAGAAAAGGTAGGGAAGTTAAAACCATAAAAAAAAAAAAACTTTTAAAGGAGAACAAGCTATAAATACTTACCGCTACCGGAATGAATTTGACCGGAACCGCAACCAGCATTTTTACACCACCTGAAATCCGGCATATTACTCAAAGTTTGTTTTAATGACAAACTGTCAAATCTATAAAAATTTAAAAAAAAAAATTAATGTTTTTCCGAAAAAAAAAAAAAATTGTATATCGCTAAATAATAAATTCCTTTCTAAAGTAGAAACTAACTTACCGTTCGAATAGATCACCACCAGCAATTCTTTGAACATCATCATATTCAATCAGAAAACCACAATCATTACCAAAAGGACAAAGAATACCTTCAACATCACCTTTGGTATTTAATTGAGTTTCAATGTGTCGAGAAACACAACTTTTACAAATATCATTTGAATGTATACAATTATTTGTTATTTTTTCAAATTGATTTAAATCATAAGTTTCTACGCAAATACTACAATCTTTGGTGGTTTTAGAAGTAGAAGAATGAGTGGAATTGGTAGATCTCTTAGAAGTAACTTTTAACGAAGAAATAAATTCATTAGATTCATTGGTTTTCATAATAGTTTTCATAATCACATAGGAATATATTCCTTACTTTCATTTTCGCTGTTATCATTTTCGCTATCATCATTTTCGCTGTCATCATTTTCGCTGTCATAATATTCGGTTACTTTACGTTTAACATAATCAGAAGTAACAGAGAAGCGATATTTCTCATTATTATTTAGGGAAAGATTTGAAGAGGTTGAAGTAGTTGTGTAAGTAAATGGAGAGGAAGTTGAAGTAGTTGTATAAGTATATGGAGAAGAAGTTGAAGTAGAAGAAGAGCCTTCATTTTTATAAGCAGGATGAGAATTTGATGTAGTTGTATAAGTATACATTATGAATAAGATTTACTCTTTAAAAATTTCAACCGTAGCTACGATTTTTAGAAGAGATAAATTGAAATTAAAAACAAAAAAAAAAAGAAAAAAAAAAAAAATCAGCAGTCATTTTTGTATTCATTCGGTATTTTGGTTTTGTTTGTAAAACAATGGTATATTGTGTAAGGTTATTTTTATTATAAAATTTCTGCGCACAATAACACTATGAAAATCACTAACGGATATTAATTATTTAGGTTATCATTTAATAACTTTTAGCAAATACATAAGATTTCTCCTCAATTTCGGATACAAATAGTACATCATAACCATTTATCCAATTACCATTTACGGGTTTTTTACCCATACGACCACCCGGTAGTAATTCTTGAATATACCAAAATTTAGTATCCAAATTTTGAGTATAATAATATAATTTCGAATTAACTTCAAAAGGGGCAGCAACATGAAATGGTTGCCTTAAATGACCATGAGCAGTTTCAGGACCCATTTTACCACCTTCATATAATTCTCTTATAAACCAATATCTACGTTCAACATTATGACCATAATAATAAGTTCTATCATCTATATTAAAAGAGAAAGCTACGTGATGAGGTTGAGAACATGTACCACGAGAGGTTTCTTTGCCCATTTTACCCCCTGGTAATAATTCATGAATTACCCAATTATTTGTTCTGGTATTATGACCATAATGATATATTCTACCATCAACAGTACGAAATGAGATTGATATATGATAAGTTGATTTCCATGTCCCACTTGAAGTTTCTTTACCTAATATACCACCATCTAATAATTCTTGAATATACCAATAATTTGAATTTAAATTTTGTGCGTATAAATAACATTTATTATAAATTGTGAATGTGAATAAAATATGATATGGATTTTCTAATGTACCACTTGAAAGTTCTTTACCAAATTTTCCTCCTTTTAATAATTCTTGAACATACCATGTATGGTCATTTGTATTATGAGAATAATAATATGTTTTTTCATTAATTTGATATGAAACCGCTACTTTATCATTAAACTTTTTCGTAGAAGAATAAGAATTTCTTTTATTAGATTTGATTGATAAGGATAATGTTTTTGTGAGTGATTGTCGATTTATACTCTTATTATTAGAAGAGGTTGTAGTGGATCCTCTTGTTCTCTCTGTTCCTGCTTTACCGTCTACTAATAATGCCCAATATCCTACCATCTTTTCTTATGAGGAAGTAATAGATTGTTTTTTTAAAGATGATAAATATAATATTGTTCAAAAAAAAAAAAATATGTAAATAAAATTTTCAAATAATGCCTGTATGACTTGAATGATGAAAATAAATAGAATTTTTTTCTCTCTCTTGAATTTTACAAAAAAAAAATCTCTCAACTCGCGTCCCATATATATATATTTAAATAAATTAATCTATTATTAGTAAAAAATGTACAAAAAATATTAATACATAAATCTGCATTAAAACAAACAAACAATTTACACAATAATATTTACATAATTCTGTTTTAAAAAAACGAGCACGAATCAGATTAATTATATTAATTACACATGGATCTCACTTAAACAAATTTGGATCACATGAACTCTTTTCATTGGTCCTTATAAGTAAAAGAAATATAAGAAATTTCTAAAAGAAAGATAGACTTTTATTGTCTGATTTAAGCAAAGAACTTTATTTACGTAAAATAAAGAAAAATATTAACTGTTGAAAAAACATTTCTCCGTAAATACTTAATATTATCGATGAACAATAAATTCAATTTCATGTTTCAAATATGTAAAACCTTTACAAAATTTAATTTTTAACAAAAAAAAAAAAAATATTAGTAAAACAAGGAGGAATTCAGTATTAAGAATAAGGAAAATAATTATATCCAAAAATATCAAAAAAAAAATCCGATTTCTTGTGAGTTTCAATTTTTCAATTAAAGCTGTTGCCATGTCCCCTAATTAGTATATTTTTGGTCTTGTGCACATATTTTTCTGACAACTGACAATTCAAAAAAAAAAAATAAAACCTTAATATTCTTAATATTCTTAACGTCAAAAATAAAGGGGTGTTTTGTGAAAATGCTTAATAAAGATTAGCCCTAAAATTTCCTTTTTCTGTGGTCACCGAAATATTGTCTAAATTAAGTCCGAAGTTCGTTAAACTAAAATAAGTTATTATTCCATGGTTATGATTATTCATAAAATTAAACAATTTAGGGGGTAATAAAGCTAAATAATATGTACACTTTTGTAATATTATGCATTTATGCCCATTATACCCCAAGCTGGAATTTAAAGAAATGATGATGTTTCACTGATTAATAAGTATTATGTTTTATTATCCCATTTATGGTCCTGTGAACCCTCGTGCATACTTGGCATTATGTCTAGATTCTTAGTCAGAATTATTCTTTCGTGCTTAAAAAATTTGAAATTTTTCAGACTTTCCTGTTTTTGATTTCAAATTTTATGATATTTTATGCTGAAACCTATTTTTTGAATTTTATTTATTATAGATCCCCATACCCTTTTTTGTTACAGAATAATCTACATTATCAAACATTAAAATAATGCTAATTGTTTATATTTAATAATTTCTATGGAATTTACGCATTTAAGAGAATTAATATTATTTTAAATCAATTTCTTAAAAGTCATTGTGTCATAAAAAAAAAAAAATTCTATTGAAACTTGAGATTATACTAACTCAAAAAATTAAGATGATTGAGCTAAGTTCAACAATATAATGAACCACTAGTTTTTATTTATTTATTTATTTATTTTATTACTAAAAGAGAAATGAACCACTAGTTTACTACCATCACCACTTTTACTTTTTCTTTCCAAAATCACCACGTGATTTTTGTGGCAATTTTTTCACGTTCAAATTTTAAATAATTATCCCACTTTTCACGTGCCAACTATTAATAAATTAAAGATTATCAATCAAACGCGAAAATTTTAATTTCCGCGTACAAAAAATTTTACAATGTACGATTGCAAAGACTATAAAGTTTACAGTATAAAAAAACAGAACCCTTTAGTATTAAAGAACGAGAATATCAAATAGGAACCTGTTATTCATGTCAAAAGTGCCTTTACTAAATACTAACTAGAGATCAAAATACTTATAATAAAAGTGAGAAAAATAAAGATCAAACGCAAGAAAATAATCAGATTTTGATAAATTAAAAAGTGAAACAACTATAAAGCAATCTGATGAAATTTCTAAAGTAGATAACATGCTTAATTCAGATTCATCTTTTCGCTTTAAACTAGTAATTAAACACCTGATTTAATAAGGCAATACTTTAGAAACAAACCAGTTGATTATTATGAATTTGAAGAACTAATACTACAAAGGGTTTGTGAAACAGTTGGTTTATTAGTTCATACTGATTATGAATTATCATATAAATCAAGAAAAAGGAATAGGAGCTGGTACTATTTAGAAGAGGAAGATTTTGAAGAATTTATAAAAGAATATTATAGGTTAACTAGCTCTAATAAGGTTTTGTTTATTACCGTGGTTATTCAAAAAAAAAAAAGAAACGTCGAAAAGAAAAAAGGTATTTATATTTCTTAAAAAATTTATTTGTTTAATATTATTATTAATTTATTTATATTTTTCAATTAGAAACATTTAATATTAGATGATGGTGAAGAATCTATAAGTGAAGAAAATAAGATTACGCCACCTTCAAAACAAAAAAAGAAAACTTCCGTTCCTAAAGAATCAAATTTGGATGAGATCGATCTTATGAAGGGGGAAATTCACAAGAAACTCAAAGAAAAGCATGGATGTGATATCCCATAAAACAGGATATTGTTACATCAAAGATGATAGATATTTACCACTCACAACATTACATTTATCTATGTGGACTGATGAAATTGTAACTATGTTAATTTAAACAATTATTTATTTTTTTATTTTCACATTTTTATTACAGTATAAGAATCATTGTGATTACGAAACTCCACTACCACATCCTAATTTTGGAATTGGAAACTCTCTAAAGGTTCCATCATCAAATCAATCATCAACAGCATCAGCAAGTAATGAATTTATAAACTGTTATTCACATTATAATATTTTACAACCGAATGCTTATCCTTATATTATGGATGGCCGCCATATCCATCACCACATCCACTATCACATCACAACTTTTACCATCATATTCATTACCATTTACATTATCACATCCATCAAATATTTCATCTATGAAGGAGTTTTTGGAAGAACTTGATAAACAATATGGTGAAAGTAAATATACAAATTTTTTACAAAAATTTGAAGAGGAGGAGATTACTGTATCACAAATTGCAGAGATGAGTCCTGAAATTTTATTAAATGAATTTGGTATAGAGATAATGGGACGTAGATAAAAATTTATATCATCACATTTTTTTGTTATATTCTTTTGTTCAATTAATAAAATTATCTGGCAATTTATAAAATGATTTTGGTCTACAAATGCATAAATTGAGTTTATTAATATGAATAAATTGATTCGTTAAAATAACCTTCGCCATATCAGGTGTTACGTGAGGAAATGCTAATATAAATGGATATTTGGGATCAGTGCAGCTTTCTACAAATATTCTATATCTTTTTAACCATGATTTAATTCCAGAAAAAGTTGTTTCGATGGGATTATAATCTGGAGAGTATGGAGGCAAATAAAGTACTTTACATCCCATTTGTTCAATTGATTCTGTCAATTTTTCATCGTGATGAAAAATTTGCGTTGTCCATAACAATTACACTATTTTTATTCGGATATTCATTCATTTGAGGTAACTAAAAAAACAAATATAAAATATATCTGATATATTTATTTTAAATAAATAAAATAAGTAAATAGATAAGCAACATACCACTTGTGTAAGAATAAATGTCTGAAATCTTTCTTTATTACAACTTCCTTCTATGAAATCAGCAGCTATAAATCCATCTAATGTCAATGCTGGTAAAATAGTATACTGTTTGCCTCTCACAAAAACAATACTTTTTTCAACCTTTACATTTTTCATGCTATATCCATAGGCTCTCCATCAATAAAAACAAGCTGTTCTGGTTGAATTCACTTCCTATTTTATACATAAAATGCTATGTAAAAGCTCACTCCTTTCTTTTGCAGCTTTTGTAACTAGAATAGAAATATTTAATTTAATAATTAAATAATCAAATAAAAATGAATTAAAATCTTATAGAACCTTTTTTCTTGTTATTCCAAGATGTTTGAGTGTTCTTCATAAAGTAGGTATCGATATGAGCTTGCCAGTTAACCTTTCCATCTCATCATCCATTTCATCAAGATGCCAATCTTTCTTATCTTTTACAAGTGAAACTAAAATCTGTAATATAAAATGTTCAATCAATAAAATAAATTTGCAATAATGATAAATTAATAATTAAAGAAATTCATTTAAATCAACAAGATTTAAAGTTTTTCTTCTTCCTTGACGACCTTTAAATGGATGAGTTACATAACCCCAATGATCGTAAATTCTTCTAATTTTATATACAGTAGTAAAGTCTAAGAGCAGTTTCTTTTGCTGAAAATCCATCGAATTGATGGTAAATGATACGCCATCTTATATCATTACTTAAAATCTTTATCATTTTTTGTTATCACGAAACTCACAATATGAAGTATTTTCTGAAAAATTGAAGCTATATTATGGTTCAATTTTGTTTTAATTTTATTATTATTTAGTATTATTTAACAACTAATTATATATTATAAACTTTATATTAGTCTTATATAAAGCAATATATTTATATAGAAAAAAAAATCGCGTATTTTTATGTCAGTAAAATATAAAGGTTACAAAATCCAAGTGATCGACATGTGGCTTGGAATTTCACATATTTCTGAAAACGTCGATAATTCGCCTAGTAGTTACCATTTTTCTTTTTTCACTACGTGGCAGACTTTTCTGATTAACTGGAAGTTGTATGACACCAGACATCTTTTCGAAAATTTGGATCAATTCATCATCGCTATACTCTTTCCCATATTCTATTATTTTCTGGTTGTATACCGTCACCCAATCATTTTCGTGTCCTAAAAATTCCCCTATATCAAGTGCGTTGTAAAAAAATATGATGTTGTGAACATCATCAATATTAGACTCGTTATCAGTGATCCGGAAGAAACAATGTCTTCTCATATATTACGGCATTGAGGAGGGCCAGTTGAAGTTATTATCCGTACGAACTATAAATAGATCAAGAAAATAAACACCAAGACACTACTATATGTATTGCCACTATGCTATTCAAGAAAATAAACACCAAGATACTACTATATGTATTGCCACTATGCTATTCAAGAAAATAAAAGCTTTATTACCAAGAAACGTTCACTTGACCAGGCTTTTTCTCATATTTTAAGAGAGTTTGAGACGTTTCAGGTAGATTTTGAACTGGCTGAAGAGATCCCATTACTCGAGATAAAATAAAAAATCTAAAGAGACATCTTTTGATAGTACGTGTTTATTATATATTTATTTGGAAAAGATTCTTGTTGTAGGATCAATGGGAACAGGCATGACGAATTTTGTATATAGCGAAAAAAACAATTAGTAATTCACCAATTTATTTATACAAAATCTATTGTCACACAGATTAATGAAAAATATAATGATTAAAATCCGTAGCAAAATCTACACGTTGAAAATTTAATGCGAGATAAAAATTCATGTTAAAGGCCTGGAAAAGTATCCGCCTTGATCTTTAAGAAATTTGACGCTTAATTTTTTAGTACGATATTGCGTCAAACATTAAGATGCTTATATGAATTTTCTGATGTACTGCGCCAGACTTTTGCTGTGCATCTATTATACGCGTGATAATTGTCAAAAGATTTTCTTAGCGAAGATCAAAATGCCGATATAGTAAGAAGAGTAATATATCCGAAAATTTTATGGACGTTTAATATAACAAAGATTTGATTAAATGATCTCAAATAGCCAGTGCGAATAATCAAGCATACCATTAATTTTATTTGCGGAGTTATTTCCAATGATTTCATGATGTTTTTGATTGATGATTGATAAAGCGGTAAGATTTAGTATATTTTATTAATTTCGCTTGATTTTTGCTTTATTTGTATAGTACAAGGCAGATAAAAAGAACCACTAACCAGCGCCTCACTCTATTTTATAGGATTTGTAATAAGACTTTACCTGACAATACTTTTTTTTTCTATTTAACAGATCAAACTCAAACGGAAAGTTGATTTATGTTCGGTTGAAATTCTTGATAAGTCAACTACCCAACAAGGTGGCGAAATTCTGGATCTCTATAGACCTTCACAAAAAAAAATAATGTATTGATAATGAACCTAGTGAAGTTAATAATTATGATGAAAGTGAAGATGTGTCAGGTAATTATTTTTATTCCGGATCATTTCGTATGGTGGCCTAGTAAGAAAGCATAACTCAATAAAAATTATTTTCAAACTAGATACACTTCTCCAAAGGACCATAAGTTCTACAATACCAGAACAACAATTTGACCTAGAGAAACTTCGTGAGGAGATCTGCGAGGAGATCCGTGAAGAGATTCGTGAATAAATCCGTCAATTCCGTGATAAAATCCGTGAAGAAATGTATGAAATGTGCAAATATTTCGTAAAGAAATTTGTAAAGAAGTCCGTAAAGAAATTTGTGATGCAGTAAAAGAAATAAATGGCCAGCGAAGTACCAATTATAGAAGTTAAAAGTGTTTGATGAATATTAATGATTATTTTGTTGAGTGAGATGATTGATCTTGAATAATACACTTTCTAGTTATTATCGTCAAAATTTCTGTATCGCAAGTTCGCAACTTAATTTATAGTAAATAAAGTTAGCTTTATTTTTATTAACTATATATTTACATATATGCATACGATGTCATGATATGATGTTTGTTCTTTAAGACAAAAGAAAGGTCCCAAAAGATTATGATTTCTTTAGCGAGATGAGGTCTGGGATCAAGCAAATTCACTTACATTAGCTTCCTACTGCAATTTAACCAAGTCCAATAAAGTATTAAGTATAACCCCGAATATCTGGATTGGCATGCCAAATTAAGTGGGTTACCGACAGATAAGATTCGTTCTAATTTATACAAAAGATATAAAAAAGAAACTGGGCATGAGCCATCAGAAGCTGTGATAAATATGTCAGCAAAACCTCAGATCTCTGATTTCAAGCCTATCACTTTCGAAGCCAAATCTGATCCAGAATTAATTATCAAATCCGTGTTAGAGCATTTTTCATACTGAAATAGTTTCAGAGGGATTGACAATTATAATTTTGCATTTGCTCAGCCATGGGACTCGCCATGCCCTATTTGTGATGGAAAACATGGGAATTATGGATTACATGGTGAATGGTATAGAAATGGAACAGAATATTGTCTTACCTACAACAGTTCAAGCGATAAATTCAAGTTCGCGTTCGTAGCATATGAGACCGATCACCTGAAAAAAATGGTGTATTTATTTTTTTGTGTAATGAAAATTGTCAGCTGGTCGATTTAAATTACTATATTAAACCCCTTGTCAATCTTTACATAAGGATAGTGTCTATTGTAATTTTAAGGAGTGCGACCTCTAGAGGTGCGATTCTTCAAATAAAACAACCAATTCTTACCTGTCTTTCTCGTAACAATTCTAATTTTTGCGTATCCTCGATATATTGCCAAAAGCTCTTATCCGTTTTTTCATCTTTAATCTGTAATAAAGGTAAATACTGTAAGAACAACATCTAATAAAAGGTAGGGTGACGGAAAGCGAGGACAACACCTGTATTCCGTGTATTACCACGGGATGACACCCACTCGGAGCACTTTCAAAATCACTCTACGAAGGCCAGGAATAACACCTATACTCTCCTGTGTTCGGCAAATGACTTGAAATGATGAATTAAATGACAAGCCATAACATAAAGTAAAAAAACAAAATATAAAAAAAAATCTTGTTTTATCTATATAACAAAAAATTTTTTCATAGTGGAAAAAGATTTTCATATCACGTGATTTATATAATCAACTCAAATTTATATTGAGGCTTCTAAGTTCTAACATTCTGCATAATTAGCAGTCTTAAATCAAAATTTTCCATATCAGATATAAATTTTATTTAACATTTTAAAATTCATTAATTTTCATATTACTTGATTTATTTTTATTTTTATTTTTTTTTTCTGCAGCGCATTTGCAGTTTTATTAAAGTAAAAAAATAAAGAAAATATATACAAAGTAAAATTCCCTAATAACTACTCTAATATAATTAAACTACAAACCACTTGTCATACCGGTAGTACCCCACATGTGCACTATCGAATGATCGTTTGACTCTGTAGGTAGATTTCATTTAGTAACAGGTCATCTTAGCCATAAAGGCCCTATCTTCAATGTCTGATGATCATGGGACCCAATTACTTGATTTATTTTAGCATTATAATTTAAAGTAAATAAATTATGCAATTATTTATATAATGAAAACTAAGTATAATTATTATTATTTTTTTTTTTTCCATAATGCAAAGTATAATTATAAACATTAGTCGAACGATGTCAAATCGGGGACTAATCAGGTGACTGAATTCCACCTGATTGGTCCCTATTTTTTTAAAATTTTCATCAATCGGTAAACCTAATTGCTGCCAAAAGATGGCGCAAAAGGAGGATACTCAGGTACCAATCAGGATATTCAATAAAGTACAATCAGGTATTAATAGTTACCAATAAGATATTTACTATTTGACATATCAGTATACCGATTGATAACTTTTTGATTAAATGTCAGTATACTGATTGTTACTTTTTGATTAATTTATAATAATGCATTTTTATTATTTTTATTTAAAATTTACATTAAAATTACAAAAATCAGAAATACTAATTACTAAATTATTTACATTATTTAATAATTCTACTTATATATATTTACTAATATTATCATATTCTTCAAAACTTTACTGATCCAAATCCAAGTCTAAGATCAGAGCTAATAGTAACCTAAAAAATAAAGAAAAAAAAATCAAATATCTTTTTAAGTATTAAATAAAAGTAAAAAAAGTTTCAAAATGAAACTCTTCAAAATTTACCATTACCGATCCAAATCCAAGTGCTGATAGTAACCTAAAAAATAAAGAAAAAAATAAATATTTTTTTAATTATTAAATAAAAGTAAATAAAGTTTCAAAATGAAACTTTTTGAAACTTACCGATACAAATCCAAAGGAAGGATCTGAAAGAGTTCTTACAAAAAAAAGAAACATTAAAAACGTTTCTAAAAAATACAACAAAAAACCAAAATTTTCCTCTATTTACCTTCTCCAAAGTCTGGTTCGTAACTTTTGTTTAGCAATTCCTATAAGAAAATAAAAAAAAGAAAGGTTTAAAAATAATTGAAACATCAAAAAAAATGAATCCCCTGAAACAATTCTAAACAACTCATAATCAAGATTACTTTGCCCATTTCGACCCTTGATAAGTTTTTCAATTCTGGGGTTCAGATCATTGCCAATGACATAAAACTGACACACTCTTGGGAATGCCACTCTGAGAAAGCTTTCGATAGGTCCCTATGATCCCCAATTTAAAAATATTTCCCCTACCTTTTTAAATACCTTCCTCAGTTTTGGGACGTCTAAAGGATTCTATAATAAAAAAAAAATATTAAAAATAGGACGATAGCAATATTTCTAACGTTCTCAATTTAAAAACATTCTCTTCTCACCTTTTTAAATACGTTTCAGAGCATTTTGCCAATTCTGGGACATCATAAGGGTTTTATAATTGAAAATAGAATGTTAGTAATGTTTACTAACATTTTAAGATTAAAAAAAAAAATTTCTTCAGCACCTTCCCTGTCAGTTCTGTGTCCAGAAGGTTACTATGAAGAATAAAATAAATTTTTTTTTTAAAAAATTTTTTTTTTATAAAAAAGAGATCATGATCCGATAATCTATTATTCATCAAACTTATCAGATCCTGTGATTTATCCGATTAGTGTCAGAATGACAGAATCGAACAATTCCGATAGAATATTCAATGGGATTCGGTATCCAATTTCAAAACTGATTCTTTATAATAGAATAATAAAAAAAACGTTTAAAAAAAATGTTTTTTTTTAAATTTCAAAGTTACAGTATCTTTGAAACATTGGGATTCTGGTATCCAAGTCAGAACCATTTTCCTACATAAAAAAAAAATTAAATAAATTTTGTTACTTCGAAATATTGGGATTCCGGTATCCAAATCGAAACCAATTTCCCTACAAAAAGAGAGAAAAAACATTAAAAAAACATTTTTTTTTTAAATTTTGAAGTTTCAAAACTTTGAAACATTGGGATTCTGGTATCCAAATCGGAACCAATTTCCCTAAAAAAAAAGAAGAAAAAAACGTTATTTAAAGTGTTAAAATAATGTTTTTTTTTAAAAAAAAAGTTTCAAGTTTTGAAGTTTCATAACGTAATGAAACTTCAAAATATTGGGATTCTGGTATCCAAGTCGGAACCATTTCCCTACAAAAAAGAAAAAAAAAAATTTAAATAAATGTTTTTTTTAAAAAATTTTGAAGTTTCGTATATTACTTTAAAATATTGGAATTCCGGTATTCAAATCAGAACTGATTTCCCTAAAAAAAAGAATTTAAAGCATTAAAATAACGTTTTTTTTTAAAGTTTCAAGTTTCGAAGTTTAAGTTGCATAACATTATAAAACTTTGAAACTTTGGGATTCCGGTATCCAAATCGGAACTGTTTCCTTACAAAAAAAGAAAAAAAAGTTAAAAAAAACATTTTTTTTGACTTTTTTTTTGTTTTTTTTTGAAGTTTTGTCATGAAACTTTCGGATCCAGTATCCAATTTTGGACTATTTCCCTATAATAAAATAAAAAAAGAAAGTTTCGATTTGAAACTTTCTTTTTGGGATTCAGTATTCAACTTGGAGCCGATTTCCTATAATTGAATAATTAAAAAAAGAGTTTCAAAAAATTATTTTTCGAAACTCACCTATGGGATTCATTATAACTGATTTTCTATAATTGAATAATTAAAAAAAAGTGAGTTTTGAAAAATTATTTTTCAAAACTCACCTATGGGATTCGTTATAACCGATTCCCTATAATTGAATAATTAAAAAAAAGGAATTTCAAAAAATTATTTTTTAAAACTCACCTATGGCATTCATTATAGCTGATTCCCTACAATAAAATGTTAAAAAAAATGTTAAAAATCATTTTTAATATCTTCAAATAAATGGTTTTTTTAGTTTAATAAAGTTTCAAAAGTAAAATGTTTGAAACTTTTGTGGGATTCTGGTATCCAAATTGGAACCAATTTCCTAAAAAAAAAAAAGTTTCAAAAGTAAATGTTTGAAAAAAATGTTAGTGTAAATTTCAATAGTATAAAATAGTTTAATTTTAGTTAAAGAAAAATAGTTTATCAATAGTTTAATTAAAACAATAGAAATCAATCAGTAAATTTAAACTAAATGATAGTTATCAATCGGGTATTAACCTGATTGATATCTGATTGAAGTGTACACCAATTTCTAACTATTGAATAAATCAGGTGACCGATTAAAAAAAAAGTTACCAATTGGGTAGGTACCCGATTGGTCAGCGTTTTACCTGTGAAACTAAAATTAAAAAATTATTCTATAAAGAAAAAATGCAAAATACAAGTCAAAATTTGGATTATTTAGCTGAAATTACTTTTTAAAATTTGATATTTTAATGTAATTTTTTTATTGACTTATCTCTAAATTTGTATGGAGTGGTGAAGAATAATACTGTAACAACAAATTTAAATCAATCTAATGATATTATATATAATAGTTATGCAAAAATGACTTATGAAAAAAACATTTAAAGAACTGTTTACTTAGTATTTTTCACAAATTACATAATTCCGTGATTAGGAATTGTCCAATAATCTTTCAGTATTATAATGACAAATGATCAAATGACAAATGATTGGGATCATTTGTCATAATCATAAATTATTTGGCATTTGTCATTTCACAAATAACTCAAATGACAAATTCCAAATGATTTATGATTATGACAAAGGATTAGGCAAATCCTTTGAATGGTCAAATAACTTGGTCATTTCTAAACACTGGTCTCACATAACGAAGTTTTTGTCTTTGCTATTATGAGCATTTCTGGGAAGCTGTTCAAAATTCTGATAATCAGTATCCCGCTACAATATAAACCTGTCACAATTCTGATAAATTATAATCCTGAAACTTTAGAATCCCATAACCACATTATTTCTGACATTCATTATCCTGTCACTTACTTAGGAATTGGAATCGATTTGACTAAAATCAAT